TTAATGTTCGAGTGCGATAAAAAAATGAGTTATTGAAAGAAATTAGTATCACTTTTTGTCATTTTCTGCCAATCAATTTTTCTACTAAAAAAAAAAAAATCATAAATCAGCATGAACAAAGACATGTTCACACTGCCAGAGAAACACCCCAAGACCACAGCAAGGGGTATGAAAGCCCCCACCCCTCCAGCTCTCACCTTCATCTCAGACCTCTTGGGAGGAGAGACCTTGGCGTCGTCCACCTTGATTTCACCCTCTGGCATCTTATTGAGGGACTGCAGCATGATCCTGAGAGACTGCCTCATCTCCTCCACCCGGCACAGGTACCTAAGGGCAACAGGACAAGCGGGAAAAAAAATTTATGGTATAAGCAACAGATATTAAGAACAGCTAAAAACAGCGTGAAGGTACAGAATCTCACCTGTCGTAACAGTCTCCGGTGCTCCCGATGGGAACATCAAACTCCACCTGATCATACACGTCGTAGGGCTGCACTTTTCTCAGATCCCATTTGATTCCCGAACCCCTCAGCATGACGCCGCTGACAGAGGCAGTGAAAGAGGCACAATGTGTTCATGATCATGTACTGACAAACAAGCATGTCTATGAACAAGCCAGGAAAAAAAAAAACCTTCGAATCTAACTTCACCGTTACTTCACTAGAAGTAGAATACTAAGATTTATATCATAGCAAAGAATAACTTAACATCGAAATGCACTGGCAGTCAGGCATGTCTGTATAAATACAGATTTACTTTATGGTGTAAACTATGCATAATGCTGGACACTTAAGGCAGTATGTACCTAAAGCCATAGTTGAGGGCATCTTCTGCGCTCACCACACCAATGTTCACCGTGCGGTTCTTCCAAATGCGGTTATTTGTCAGCATCTAAGTCACATGACCAGGGGATCAGTCATGAATCAACCACTGTAGTAACACTGCGTGCCACTGAGGAGATTAATTTCAGCTGGGGCTCACCTCTTCCACCTCATCAATGCGGAGCGAGAAGTTCTTGCACCATTCATATATGTCATCCATCAGCCCCAAGGGCAAGTCCTACGGAACACAAATCACCTTCGTCACCATTATCATCATCAAAATCACATTTCTCCTCTTCCTCTTTAAATATACCTATACTTACAACTCTGAGTGCTAGTAGTGTGAAGATGCATTGTGACAAATCGAATATTAAGCATCAATTCACTTGCACCAACCTGTAATGTCAGAATCGATTTTTGGGAGCATGTGACATAATTTGGCCAATCAGCAGAGCCACCTAATAGAAAGTCATTCTGTCAGTTTGTGAATGTAACACGGATCCATGTTATTACTGGCAATCTAAGTTCTATGTGAAGTTTGGAAAAATTAATGGGAGGATCCTAAAAGGTCACATTCTCTACGACTTGCATGAAAAGTATATTGTGGATGTCTTCAACATCGATCATGATATAAAGTCATCAGATCTCCCACCCCTAGTTTGAATTTAGGTTATCAAAATAATTGATCCATTGAATCGTATTGTGATAGAAATGACAAATTTCTGAAGCTTCAAATCATCCCCTAAAACCATATGTGAATCGAACCACCGTGCGGCCAACAATTTACACCACTACTGAGTATGATTCACCCTGGAGTTATTTATAAATACCACTTAAATGTCTACAGCATTTTGGTAACAATGGGGTGAAAATATACACAACCGCATTGTGAAATGCGTTTTAGGTAAGCATGTTGTCTAGTCACCTGATGGACTCCCCCAGGTCGGACATACGCAGCATGCATCCTGGCACCGGACACTCTCTCATAGAACTCAAACATCTGCAAGAAAGAGAAATACAGTCATTGCATGTCATAATACCCACACAAAGGCACATGAAAACATACGCACACCTGCCTCTGAAACTCCTACCACTGCCCATCATAACTACTAAATGAGACAGCACCACTAATGGCACAAACAGCAAAAACAAAGACACTTAATGACAGTGACACATCCACAAGGATACAACAGTCACATACACCAAACTCAAGCAGCAAGACACCCTCAAGAGACACATCCTGTCTTCACACCTCTTTTCCTAACTTGTGCTATAGATCTACCATTCAGTTCTCTCTCCATACTCTCCCCATAATCTGCCCAGTCTCTCACCTTCTCCCTTTCTTCAAACATCCAGAAAAATGGGGTCATTGCCCCGATGTCAAGGGCGTGGGCGGTGATAGCCATGATGTGATTGAGTATACGAGTCAACTCCCCAAACAACACTACAGGGGGAAAAAAAAGAGAATAAAGAGATGATGTATTTATGTATGTATCTCAAATATCATTCATCAGAAATCCAGAGTACCAAAGATGACAAGACCACAAGCTGAAATTATCCCAAATGCCAATCTACACCAGGAATAACAATCATGTAACAAACACTTTCCAATAAGACAAAACCAAAATTAACCCATTATGTTTAAAATATACCAGAAACTGACCCTTTTGGGATTTCAAGCTCTTCAAACGTGTGACGCGCACACATGCCATCAGCTTGCCTTATTACTGTATGCCACACACTTTGCATCTAATGTTTATGTATGTAACATGCACCTGAAAGCTCTTGGGCATTTTTCACAAAAGCAGGATTTCTTGCTTAGTTGGACCGCTTGTTGGATTTAAAGTAGTCCCAGCTAAATGTTATTGAACAAAGATTAAGTCCATCCAGCACAGACTACCTTAAATCCGACAAGTTATCTGGCTAAGCAAGAAATCCTGCTTTGTGATATAGGCCCCATAGCTATTACAGACTCAAACAATTATATTCTTCATATTAACAATTTCTGGAAGCCCTATTGTAGTACTCTCTGCCAAGAGCATAACTAACCATATTATACTCCCTGTACATACAAGGTTCTTACTAGACAAACACAGGGGCATCTCAAAGTACAGTTCTGCAATGGCAGTAGGCATGCTACTCTGGAGACTCACCCCTGATCCACTGTGCTCGAAGAGGGGCCTGAATGTTCAGCAATTTCTCCACAGCCAGTGAGTAAGCCTGCTCATTGCACATCATTGACACGTAGTCAAGCCTGTCAAAGTAGGGCAGGGCCTGGCGGGGAACAGCACCACTCGGTGAATCTTTCCAAGATACAGACTATGGTGCATGTCAAAACCTTCACACATGGCGTCACTGCTGCGAAAAGCCTCCAGCAGGTCGGACACCATCATTACGAAAACCCACCTGCAGGTAGGTCTTGTACTCAATGAGCTTCTCTGTCCCACGGTGGAGCAGCCCCACGTGGGGGTCACACTTCTTCACAGACTCGCCACTGAGCTCCAACACCAGCCGAAGGACGCCGTGGGCCGCAGGATGTTGGGGACCGAAGTTTATGGTGAGGTTGGAGACCTCTTTCTCCATAGGAGGATCCTTATCTGAGGATTAAATTATAAGAGTATAACAGAAATCCTCAGTGACTGAAAGTGAAAGAAACATACATTAAATTCATCTTTCTGAGATTAGTATGTATATAGTAATAACGTCTTGCTAACTTGATCTGTTAAAAAATAATTATCATTTAGAAAGTCTGACCGTACCATTCCAGGGCGGAGGGACCCATTTCTCCGTTATAGCACTGGGGTACATGACGGCTCCTGCGTACTGCTCGGTCCACTCCACATCTGGCTGCCATTGCTTCTTCCTAGGTAAAGCGACAATTTGTTTGATGTTGGTGTAGTTAACAAACAGGCAATATGCCTTTTTTTCATATAGTATATTATTATAACCAGTCGGATTGACAAGTATCTGATCCATGAATGACGAACCGAACAGCCAAAGAACAGGTCATCAAAACAGAGCTCGACGACGTTTCCATAGCAATAAATGCTAATTCATTCGCATTTACTAATAGCATAACACATAAGCCTCTTCACGTAAACCGACATGAATAAGATTTATGTCAATATTATAGCCAAATATAGGTTTTCATCTTACATATAATAGACATATAGTACAAAGCCTGCAAATGATTTTCACACATTGCGCAGGAAGACTTACAAATACAGACACGTGAACATAAAAAAAATATTTGTACGCTTCTATCTTACCTATTTTGCAGCACATTACAACCTGGGTTTATAAAATTATTGCTTAAAATAAAACTTGAAGGACGTCCTAATCTGGTGAGCGACCTCAACATCGTCGCCGCCATATTGGCTGCGGAGCGGAACCTCGAGTGGACCGACTGCGCATGCGCACGTATACGAGCAATCCCAGGCTGTCGTCTTCCGGTCTGGCCCTCGCGCGCCGTTAGTTACCCTTCCGTATGTGCGGCTTGTGCTTTGCATTTTATAATCAGACTCGGCTGTCGTAGGTCAGGTTTTAAGTTTTGTTTGTGTTTTACACTAATGTACACTGTATGCGTGTGTAACTAAATGTTTTTAGAGGTCAGATTAGTATAATGCTTTTGAAGCACATCGATTTTCAAGATTAACGTAAGGATGTGCACTACTCTATGGCATTCAACACCTTCAGTGCCCATACGATAATTAAATATTAGCTGCACGTGTTGCAAACTGGTGCTAATATAGTAAATGTCCGTTTCGTGTCCTCTTTCAAGTAACAATATCTGAGGCACTGACACATTTAAGTAATCGAGTATATTTTGCAGGGTAATTGATGACCGTCAAACTGTAACTTGAGGAAACTAAACAGTGGCGCTTTTCCGTAAGGCAGTAATCTGCCAGTACGACTTAATACAGAGTTAACGGCTTTGATACATTGAATCAAATTACTACTTCCATTTATTATTGAAGACCATTCGTGTGACAAGATTTTTGTGCAAGTTGGATATTTGTATGCAACGTGGATATTTTACAACAGACGTCTCAGATAAATAATTGTTAAGGACAGTGAGTTCTACTGTGAAGTGTTTTATGTATTAAAACCTTTTTGAACAGCAGAAGTATGTGTAGCGTTAAGAATGTAAACTTGAAGCAAAGTATACACTGAAAAATAGTTTAACAGGGAAAAAACTTTTATGAAAGATGTGGATTTTATTTATATAATACTGTGAAAAAATAATCACATACCATAAGACATTAGAAAAAATTCAATAAAGTTCATGGCTATGAAAAACAACTGAAGTGAAAAATTATAAACACATTCGGAACACATTTTTCTAAACAATAAGGACTTCAAAATAGAGTGCAACTGTGTCAACAACGAGAACAACAACAAAGAACAGAACAGTAATGAGAATATTACAGACAAGTTTTGGTTAAAAAAACACATTCTGGATCTCCAACTCCACATAAATAGAGACTAGAAATAATGAGTGTTTGGCCTCTTAAGCACCACAAATGTTTATGGGACAGAGCATGTGTTTATATTAAGATGAATGATAAAGTATGATAAATAGCTTTCTTTGCCTCCTAAAAAACCTTACTATCTATCCCAAAGACCGCCTCCCTTTCTCCGGTTTAAACTATTTGTTATATTGCCTAACTCCTATCTGCACATGTGTGCAAAACCCAGTAGCAGAACTATTCCAAGCTCATAAGCAGAAAGGTCAAGGAGAAAATGGGGAAGAGTTGAAATGAATAAATGGAGTAAAGACATGATAGAGAGAGAGGGGAAGAGGGGTAGAGATGAGCTGACCGAGAAAAAAGGCAGGATACCCTAGTCCTTCACACAAATCAATCCCAAGACTGACGAATCTTTTGTAATTCATAATAGTTTTCTGTACTTATTTCCTGCACGACGGCTTTGTCGTATGCAGCCCATACAAGCAGCGGCTGGTTGTACCTGTCTAATAATGGCTATTCAGTTTAGACTTTAGAAGAAGCTTGCGGTTATAAAGCATAGACACAGCTGTCAGATTTAGTTCTTGCAAACAGCTTGTGATTTTAAGAATTAAAAATTGCTACCTTTCCAAACAGCTTTCAGGTGTTCTCCTTACAAAGAACCCAACATAGAAGAGAACAAAGACGTGTACTCTCATACCTCCCCATCATAATTATGATCTGCTATTATCTGTCATTCCCACTGACAATTATGTGTGTAACAATAACTATGTGCCACTTGTTCTTATATGCCAAATTCATTAACAAAATTTTGCTCGTTTCTTTCTAAGTGTGGTTCCTACGAATTAGAGATGGGGAATCGACGCACAACACAAAGAACCAGTGAAGGAGTGAAGTGAAGGGGTACAGCATGAGCTTCCCTTGGCTTGCTTCCCTTCACACGTGGGTCTGCATCCTCTGGTTGTGCCTGTGTTTATAGTCTGAATGTTGTGAGGTGTAGGAGAACCGGCTGGAGCTGCCAAACTTCCCGAATCCAGTCTCTGTCCCCAGACCCGCTGCTGGCCCTGCTGCTGCCTGTGCCCCGTACATCTCGTAGGAGGGCCCTCCCTCCAGGGGGGTGAAGCCCAGGCGGTATGGGTACTGGGCCGGGTAGCTGTAGCTATCGTAGGATAGCTGCGTGGAGGGCTCCAGGAGGTTGCAGTCCCTGGAGAACTCACCCATCGGAGGGACTGGGTTGGATGGAGCTGGCTGAGACTGGCCTGCCCTTGTGAAGGTGCTGAACTGGGCATAGTTTGTGTGGGACAATCTGGACGGGGGTCGAGGGTCATAGCAGCCAGCCCTTGCTCCTCCAGTGGCCCCTCCGGCCGCGCTCTCCCCCCCGCTGGCTGCCACAGCCCCGCTAGCAGTGTTGGCAGGCCGGTATTCCGGATACATCATGGAGCACGAGGAGGCCTGCGGCTCTTCATGGGGGTTGGCTCGTACATTGTAGTACCCATTTGTCGGGTCCTGCACAGAGATTAACCTTTTAGCCTGGCTGCCTGGACAACAGTATTCGCTAGTCTGATCCAAAGGAGCTGTAGGGTTTCTTTGCCAGTGAAGACATAACTGCTAACCCTCTCCTCCAGGAGGCATGCAAGTAGCTACTTTGATTGCCCACCCCTACACCCCACCCCCAAATAAAACTTGAAGTGGGGCAGTTTTCTGTCGATGTCTGTGCCTATTTTCACTTCATCTGCTTGCCGTAGTCAACGTTAAATGACGCTGCCGTGTCAAAATGTCTAAAATTATGATCGTTTCTTGAATCCTGAAAACATACAGGAACACATATAATTTATAGATTATCCTTCGTAAAATGTATAGAGATAGTATGCATATGGATGTGTGGGTGTGATCCAGGTATACATTACATTGCAGGGACCAAATATTCCCACAATGTGATAAAAACCTGTTATTTTGACATTGTGGAGACCATTTTTTCAGTCCCCACAAAGGGAAATTCAGTTTTATAAAAATCTGTGACTTCAATCAAAAAATTTCAAATGCCAGAAGACTTCTGATTTGTTCGGTTACTTATGGTTAAGGTTAGGTCTGGGTAGGAGTTAAGGTTGTCATTGTTGGAATTAGGGTTTTGCCCATAGAAATGAATGGACGGTCCCCATAAAGATATGAGTACAGGTCTGTGTGTGTGTGTACCTCACCTTAAGCTCATATTCTCCACAAGTATCAAGTGTGTCACTGCGTAGCTCTTTCTTGAGGTCAATGTCATCCTTAAAAGACTGATCAGAGGGAGAGAGGGAGACTGATGGCAAAAACTACATAATGAAACAGACACACGCACATACACACACACACAGATACAGACAGATGGTGAGAGACAGGGAAGGAGAAAAGACTCTGTTACTATGTTAGTTACAAAGTGAGCCTTAGTGATAATCAGAGCTGATATTTGGTAAAGGATAAAATGCAAAGGACTACTTAAGCAGTCATCTTTGGAACATTCATAACAATTAGTAGCAATAGTAGCAAAAGTACAGTTCCAGTGAGTCATAATATACAATTTTCAATTAAAAGAAAAAAGAAGATATTAGTTAAATTAGTAGCAAGCTTGGTGGTATTGGATAACACGTAAAGGATGGGTTAAAACCTGGGATATTAGCCAAAATGAGTAGCAATGAGGTAAATAATTTGCTTCGATCAGGAAAACAAGCCATAAGGTTCTGGATGCTTACTGAATACATAGCCTTGACCATGCGTGACGCTGTGGATAAACCTGAAGAGTCTTCCTCTAGACTGGGAGTTTCCTTGTTGATAGTTTCCACTCTGATATCCGGCTTCCCCAGAATCACCACTCCGCGACCTTGACAAATATTATGAGTGTCTGAATGACCTTCAGTCTGAGTACAACAGGATATATTGCAGTACATTCAACAGACACAACCTTCACTGTGGACTGAGACATTACTCATGCCTATTTGGACAATCCAAGGTGGCTTTGTGTTGTTTTTGATTGACTGGTTTTGATTGGTTTAACTCTACAACTGTACTTTCTTCACTCCTATTGGGTCAGACCTGGTTGTGGAAGCATGCCGTGATAACATCCCACCCCCCTTTCAGTTCACTCTCTGTCTAGCGGTGAGGGTGTTTGACGTGGCACATTGTGCAGGAGTCCAGCTGGGGAGTTACTCACTGCCTTTGTGTTGGCGGCAGAGATACAGGGCCAGGGCCAGCAGACAGAGCAGAACCAGGATGCAGGTTCCCACAGTACCACCGGCTATTATCCCTACCGGTACTTTCTCTAAGAGACAGATGGAGAGACGGGCAAGGAGGGGGAGAGAGTGGGGAAAGATGCATGCAATGCACTCAGTTATAAAATATTCAATGTGTACCTTCTACAACACAACAATGTCAATCAATATTTTGAATTTTTTTTATGTTACATTCACTATATATTATTCACTATATAATAACTAGAGTCTAGATTTATTAATCAAAGACTAACATACACGAATGAACTCAAACTGAACATATCAAACACATAAAATGTTTTTACTTTAAGGATGTTAAGTGCTCCGTTTTCAGATGCATCAGGATTTCCATCAATATTGACTGATGAGTATAATCAGGTCCTTACTTAAGTTTTCAGTTTGTTGTCTTTTGTTGAATAGAATCCAAAAAAGCCACTTAAATTTTAGAGGAACTGTGATATGAATAGATACCATAGTAGAAAATGTACTTTTCTTATATTTAATGTTTCTGGTAACTAGGTGCCATATATAAAAGGCATGACAGCTGGGAGGCAGTACCGTTCTCCTGCAGGGTGATGATCATGGAGCCAGGTCCAAAGCTGTTCCAGGCCGTGCAGTTGTAAGGAGAGTGGAAGTCTGAGTCCATGACGCTAGCGATGGAGAGAGTGGAGAGTACCCCCCCATCTGGTAAGGTGGTCTGCTCCACCCTGTACCTTTCCTTCTCCCACTCGTCCTCATTCCACGCCCACACCTGGAACACACAAACACATAAAAACCGGGGGTTTGCACACAGTCTACACACATATTACAGTGTGACGGGATTACTGCATAAAATAGCAATGTGTGATAAATTACAGTGTGACGCATGTAGTGGAGTACATAAAATTTAACAAACTGTAGCATAAGGGTACAGAGGAGTACGTAAAATTACAGTGCCTTATAAACGACGATGCAAGGGTTGCAGTGGAGTGCGTAAAATTACAGTGCATAATAAACAATGATACTAGGGGTGCTGTGGAATACGGAAAATTATAGTGCATAAAAATGGTATGGGGCGTGCAATGGAATGTGGAAAATCATACTGCATAAATAATGATACGAGGGGTGCAGTGGAATGTGGAAAATTATAGTGCATAAACAATGATATGAGGGGTGCAGTGGAGTGCATAAAATTACAGTGCATAAAAAATAATACATGGGGTTCAGTGGAATGTGTCAAATTTAGTGCATGATGCATAAAGATATGAGGGGTGCAGTGAAATGCATAAAATTATAGTGATTAAACAACAATATGAGGGTGCAGTGGAGTGTGTAAAATTTAGTGCAGGATGCACAAAGATATCAGGATTGCAGTGGAGTGCGTAGAATTACAATGCATATTTAACAACGATACGAGGGGTGCAGTGGAGTGCATAAAATTACAGTGCATAATAAACAACGATACGAGGGGTACAGTGGAATGTGTAAAATTTAGTGCACAATACAAAAAGATACGAGGGGTGCAGTGAAGTGCATAGAACTATAGTACATACCCAACGATATGAGGGGTGCAGTGGAGTGTGGAGAATTACAATGCATATTTAAGAACGATACAAGGGGTGCAGTGCAGTACATAAAATAACAGTGCATAGTAAACCACAGCCCGGTATGGGATAAAAAGTTGGAGGATTGATGGATAATAAACAGCGGTGTGAGTGGTGTAATGGAGTAATTAAAATGACAATGTAATACAGAGTTCAGCTGGAGATACTCACAATTTTATCTGGGGGAGGGGTACTGGCGATGTAGCACTTTATCTGTCCTCTTTCCCCTCTCACTGCATACTGGATGGGCTCGCTGGAAATGATTGGAGGACCTGGGAAGAAACAACAGTGTTTCTATAGTTCCCTGGTAGTTGTAGATTTTTACTGGCTTTTCCTGGCTTCTAAAACCCTTTTTTCTAATCCCTTACCATTGACAGTGAGAGTGATCTCCCGTTCTCCAACTCCGATTTGCGGTACAATGGCCTTGCAAATGTACTGTCCGGCATCATCTTGACTCACAGACCTTAGGAATAGCTGGTTACTATTACCAAGTACCTGGTCAGGGGACACACAAATATTTCAGGTACCGTTATTATGCATTAGTTCTCAGTCTGCTTAGAAGTAGACAAACAGACCACAGATCCAGCTCACTATTACTGCTGAGTAGACTGCATGGTTACAGACTAACCAACCTATAGACTACAGTTACAGCCCAGAATTAGTGCTGAGTAGACTGTCTGGTTACAGACCGGACACTGATCATTATTACTGCTCTTAGATATGGTATGGTTTGAAAAAAGCATTTCTTTCAGCTGGTTACATGAAGATTACTGACCACAGTGGAGCCCTTCTTGGTCCAGGTAAGGATAAGAGGGGGGTTGCTGGACCACTTGCAGTTTAATGTGACGTCAGAGTCGACGTCCGCCGTCACCGGGCTGGGCTCCACCAGCAGAAGAGGGCCAACTGCAGAGAACAAGAATAGGATTGCAGGTAAACGACTGCAGAGATAGGCAAGCAGCCAGGCAGAGCAGGAGAGACTGAATGCAGGATAAAAATCAACCAGAAAAGCCTAATTCACTTGCTCTCAATCTGACAAAGGTGCTCTGTTAGATGGCTCTGGTACATTGCCTATCTCACATCCTGCAAGGATGTTGCTGCTTTCGTTCTGCTGTTTTCTTTTTGGTGTCTGTGTGCCAGTCATGCCAGCCGCTCCGAGAGAATTGACTACACTAACAAAGCTGAATTAATAAAAATCTAAAATGTATAGTGAGAAAGCAGATTTTCTGGGCAGACTTCAATCCAGAAATGCGTGGAAGACACATGGTCCTCCAGTCTGACCAGCAGAAGGAGAGGCAGACAAGCACACGGGCGGCCAGGCAGACAGAGAGAACGGATTTAGCGCGCTGGCAAAACTAACGGGACTCAGAAGGGAAACGGAACAGAAGAAGAGTGGGATAGACAGCAACGGGCAATCACACACAAGACTCACAGTGAACATCCACCAGGACGCTGACGTTGGTGCTCCCCACAGCATTGAAGACCTGGCAGGATACGGGCTCGGTGAAGAGGGAGTGGTCCGCCGTGGTCACAAAAATGCTCTCCCTGGCGCCCTCCAGGAGAATGCCACCCTTTGCCCACCTGAGGATCACAGTCGAAACTCACGCCCTGCTCGTCACACCCGTATGCATGTAGGTCTAGATGTGTGAGGGCAGACCAACCTGTAGCTCATAACGGGGGGGTTGGCGCTCGCCTGGCAGGTAAATGCCACTCTCTCTCCTTGTAGCACAGAGCGAGGGTCTACAGAGAGTGTCACCGTGGGTTTGTCTGTAGAGTAGTGAGCGGGAGCCACGAATGAGATATGAACTCCTGCTCAACAGCCAGACACACGCCTACCAATCGATCACCAGCTCATTCGTTAATAACACTACAGATGTACACAGTGACACATGAACAGTCACGCATATAATCAAAGACACTCACATGCCCACACAGTCATTCATAAAAACGCAAGTTCACACTCACAGTGCACATTGAGGGACACAGTCGTGCGTTTGCCCGCAGGTGCAGCTGGGTTCCTGGTCACACAGGTAAAGTTGTGGCCTGTGTCCGAGTCCACTGGCAGGATGGGCAGGAAACTGCGGGTGGTCGTCCTCTTTCTGTCCATCAGCACCTCCTGCAGGGAGACAGAGAAATTACAGCCCTGAACAGTCACAGGCAGAAAGGAAATATAAAAAATTACAGAACAAGGGGTTCCTGAACAATTCAGCCAGAATGGTTCTCTTATCGATCCAATGACCTAGCCTGTTACTTTTTGTGTGTAGTATGTGTAGAAAAGCATGTATGTGTAAAAATGTAGGTGTACATCCATTGCATCCATCTGTTTTCTCTAACCACTTATCCAATACAGGATGAGAGAAACCCTCAAGCACATCCCAGGAAGCACAGTGTGCAAGGCAGGAGATACCCTGGATGAATTGCTAGTCCATCACAGAGCACGCACACGCAGCTTAGGGACACCTGATCTATATGTGTTTGGACTGGAGAAGTGAACGAGGTACCTACAGGAAGGATGGGGGGGAAGGTTCAATATCTGTGGGCAATGCTGGCAAGCCACACTCCCCCATGAGTATATAATGTGTTTGAGCAATCTGAGTGCATGTGTATGGGGGGGGTTATGGAGTGTACATTATCTGTGTGTGTATACAGTACGATAAATGGTGTGTGTGTGTGTACAGTGCACTGAATGGTGTGTGTGTGTGTGTGTGTTCAGGTCCCCGAAATATAAACCTCAATTTTGTAAAAACCTGTGAATGCAATCAAAAATAACCAAAAGTCTTGTATTTTACTTGGTTGTTTATGGTTAAAGGTAGAGCTGAGTCAGGTTAGGGTTGTCATAGTTAGGATTAGGACTATGCCCATATTAATGAATGGAGAGTCCTCACAATGACAGGAATATATGAAGTGTGTGTGTGTGTGTGTGTGTGTGTGTGTGTGTGCATACAGCATGCTGAATAGCATATGTGTGTATACAGTGCACTGCATGGCGTGTGTGTGTGTTTGTGTACAGTGTGCTGAATGGTGTGTGTGTGTGTACAGTGCGCTGAATGGTGTGTGTGTGTGTACAGTGCGCTGAATGGTGTGTGTGTGTGTGTGTGAAAGACTCACCGTGATATTGAAGTCCCCCTCCAGCAACATGCCGTCCTTCTCCCAGTGTATAAGAGCAGGTGGTTTGGCCCCACGGGAAACACAGCTCAGGTTGTAGGCCACGCCGGCCCTCAGCAGCACCTGTGGACCCCCATGTATCACTGGGTCTCCTGGGGGGACTGGGGATGGCGGGGGATGACGGGGGGGGGGATTGTATACTCAGTCGAATGTGCCCTCATACATACAGTATATACATACATTTACACAGACACAAGGAACTCCCAGAACATCACAAAAACAAGAAATCTAACAAATAAACCTCCCATGTCCCTAATTTTTTTATTATCTGTCCCTAAATTCTGGGTGGCGTGTGGCTCTGCGGGTCAGAAGTCCTGTGGTCAGCAGAGTCATTTCACCACTGGAGCCCTGAGCAGGACCCTTAACCCTAATTGCTGCTGGGACTGTTGGACCCTGCATTCTCAATTGTACATCACTTTGGATAAAAGTGTCTGCCAAAGAAATAAATGTAAAATCTATACATACATCAGGTCAGCTTCTATATGGGGGGCCAGGGTGGGTCTAGTCCACCTAATTACCAAGGCTGGGCAAATGGCAACCAATCACAGATTGTTTTTTTTTTTTTTTTGATTATTGTAAATAGGAAAGTAACAAGCCAAAAAAAAAAGCTAAGGAAGACTTTTTGAACTCTTACACTCAAACCTCTACAATGATTGCTATGGCCCAGCCCCCACCATACATCTTAGAGCTGGAACCGAGCCTGAAGACATTGACAAAGACTTGCTGTTCAGAGACACAGACTGACACGCACGTGCACACAGACGCACACACACACACGCGCGCGCGCGCACACATACTCACTCAGTACAGTGAGCTTTGCTCGCCGGGAACGGAGCGCTTCCTCTGTGGCCTGGCACTCGTACAGAGAGTCATCCGACAGCTCTGCTGCCGAGATCTCCAGGTCGTGCTGGCCCACCTCCATCCCACGCAGCACGCGGTACCTGGGCCAGGCTGAGGACGGGGGATACAATTAGCACCCGCACAAACAGGCACGTTCCCACAAACCGATCCATAACAGGGCTGAGGGAGAACAAAGGGATCGTTACAGAATGTTCAGCTAGGCTGCTGGAACTGCATTCAGCCAGCAGGTGGCAGCCACATCTCTCTGTGCTGAGCTCATGATGTCACCCACATTTTTCATAAAAGTATTGAGGCGGATTGCATCATCTCCACAAACCAAGGTGATCTTATTTTCCTATTCTCCCTCAAAATAGCTGGGTCTGAATCGATATTAAAAACACACTGCAGACCAGTCTTTATAAAAGGGCTGGGTAAGTGTGAGCATGTTAGAGAATACATCTTTTCATCGTTTACACGTCTCTGTTCTAAAGCTTCCCCAAAAGCGAAACAAGGCATTCTAGGTCCAATCTGACAGAAAAAAGAAGGATGACGGAGGGGTAGAAAAGGAGGGGGGGGGATAGATAATAGCTTGGAACTGAAGGAAAAAGGACGAGTGGGGCCAGGAATCTACCAAGACAGAGATGGAGCTAAAAATGAGGTAGATTCCATTTTTATTTACATTAATCAAAAATTGGTCCCCACATCTTCATGCCTAAAATAAAATTTTAACATGAAAATAACCTGATTTTGCGGGTAATTCAGAACGATAGAGAAATGAAGAAGCAAGGGAGAGTGGGATGGAAGAGAGAGGGGAGGGAGTGTGCTAAATTAGATAGAGATTTTCCCACCTCGCAGGTCATGTCCGATACCCAGGGCGAGGCCGTCCTTGGTCCACTGCACAATGCCCGTGTAGTTGAACACCACGCAGGACAGAACTGCCCTTTGGCCCAGAACCACCGACTGGTCAGCAGGTTCCTGGGAAAAGCGGGCCATCCATACTGGCCCAGTGAGAAAACTACAGTTATACCCACTTGCCGTTGCAGTAGCTTTTCTAAGCATGTCAACTGAGCGATTGAGCTCTTTGTTTGACTCTTTTTCTTGAGCGTCAGTGGCCCTAAGCCGAAATGGTTAAGTTCAGCCCTCTGACAGCGACCCATCTTCACCCCTGGAATGTTTCGTGATTTTGCCCAGTCTAGCTGCCTGTTTACACCAGAGCAAACGAGCTGTAATTTTATTCAAACATTCCATTAATCTGATTTTACTCAAACTTAAGTACTCACAGCCACACACTTTGCCGACACACAAATATCGTCACTCCGCGATCAGTGACTAAAGATGTAATTAAAACAAACTTGCATCAAAGAGTAACGTTATCTTCCTACCAAATGTCTTTAACATTACTGCACTGGGGCCCCAGTTCAACCGCTCTATTGTTTCCATGGATTTTATTTCCATAAGACCAAGTTTTCTGCCCCAGATTTAGTCCCACGAGGGTCTCTAAAGGGCAAGGTATGCGTCTTTCTGTTCTCAATCAGTAGGGTGATGTAAACAGTCGCACACCCTATGATTACTGTACATTGCCTTTACTAATTTAAACAGATACTGTACCAATTTGTTGACCTACTTCAAGGACTCCGGAGCAGCGCTGTTCAGCCTTATCCCACATACTCCACAATGTCTGCCATATTACACTGCGCGATGCAGGAATATTTCCTGGTTTATCTGGGCACCGCTGTTTGAAATCTTACAATTTAAGGACAAGTTTGCATGGTGACCATACTGCCAATGGACTGTAATTTTCATTACCACAACAGTCCCAGCAAACCACATTCCACAGATATTAACTTTCCCATCATTCTACTGGCATGACATACATAGGGAAAAAAATTACATGTTATGATTATAAGTAATATACAAATACAGTATGGTCCACAGTAACTTATCAATAAAAGTTAATTAATGGAAAACTACTACTTACAGTCATTGGATCTGAAAAAATTTATCCAGCCTTTGGATCCCTAGTCTATAATATTTTCTGTGCAAGAACTGTACGCAAACATGTAACAGATAAGTTTTATGCAAAAATGTATTTTATACAGGATTTAAGACTATTTTGCTCATGAATTAAATAGACAAAACAATCATTTCAATGCAAATTGTCAATATATATCCATTAGTAAATAAACAAAATTTCACTAAGTACTGCTAAGTAAGCATTTGATCTGACTTCAGTATACTCTATAACTACAGTCACCTCAGTTGATTCATACAAACCTCATACAAGACTATATTCTGTATAGCATTTCATTACTTATCTGATCCTTTCATTGATAATTTCTCAGTCATCATTACACTTTACTCTTGATCCTAGTAAAGCTTAACGTGGCATCTAGTCACATGTTACACAGATACTCATGGCCATGCTTAGTCATGTCAGTCAATGAACCTGAAAGCCATTTTTACTCTGGCTAATTTCCTCTATTCCAGAGTCAACTGGAATCACGTACAAGTAACAATAGTTGTGGATTGTGAAAATACTTTCTCCTATTGTTATGTCTATTGTTATGACACTCTGTTGTCTAATCTTGCCATGACAACCACTCTCACACCTTTCTCTTGCTAAGCATTTCTTTTTATTTCCCTTTTTAAAACAAGAGATGAGAATCAGGGAGGGATGCTGGACAGTGATTGGAGGGAGGAGAGTGAGGGAAAAAGACAGAGAAAGGGAGAAAGAGGCGAATGAATAAAAGGAGACAAGGGATATGAGACGGGATCGATCAAGGAGAAGGAAGAGGAGCGGAAAGTAACGAGAAGATAAGTAAAGCGAAGGGGACGAGCACGCAGTGAACAGGTGTGTGAGGAAAGAGACATCGTCATGGTAACTAACATGCGATAGGTATGGCTGAGAGTAGAACAGGGACAGAATGGAGATGTTAAAGAGGGAAAGAGGGAACATGCAGTCACTATGGTAACAGAAAAGGAAGGCAACTAAAAAGAAAGGGTACAAATGGCAAAGATTGATGGAGAGAGCCAACAGAAACACAGCAGGTATGCAAGGAACCAGTTAAAAAAAAACCCTGAAGCTTATTTGGCCAAGACTGGGTCAAAACAAGAGCAAGACTAGAGCAACACTACGTAAGACTGAAGTAACACTGAGAGAGATGCTCATGGAATCAGAGCGACCCTTCATCTCCTCTCAGGAGATATTCTAGGGGCAATAAACAGACATCAATCTACCAGGCAAATTAGCAGCCTCCTGGTGCCGCCCGCAGAAAGGAGGGTGCCCACACTGTCCCCGCACACCTTGGCGCTGCCAGAAAGAGGCCAAGGGGTCTGCCCCGTGACTGGAAGGCAGGAGCACACCGGGGAGGCCCTGCTGGGTCACACTCGCGGTCAAGGGTCGTCGGTGGTACGAGGGAGTGACGATGCCAGGCCAGACGGCGAGGCAAACAACAGGGAGCATCAGCAAACTGTCCACACTGACCAGACATAATCACCCACCTCTTAGTGTCTAGCAGGGCGAGACTCTCGTAGTTACTGGCACTTGTGAATTCTGCTGACCTGCCCTGACTCCACACCCAAGTCAACTTCCTAATTGATGGGGGTTTTTAATTATGTTTAATAAATTAGGGTTTAAAAGAACGATCGGGATATTACTTATAACAACAGTTAAAAACCACTGATCTTTTAACAAAATTGTTATGGGTACATTTATGCAGCTAAAATGTAAAATATGATTTTTCATTTTTGCACCTCAAATTCTGCACCTCGAGCAATCATATAAATTAGTGCTTGGCTTAATTAGGCTTAATCATGAATTATTTAATTCATTGTTCAGTCCACGGACTATTAAATAATCAAAGGAGGCGAAAAAAGTATTCACAGTAATTTCACTGAGTGGTAGGGAAGCAGTGTCTAGAAAATTCTATGATAGCCATGCTGCCTTTCCATCCAACCCAGTCTACCTCAACCTCAGACAATACATCCACCCCCACCTTCCAAAGCACACCCCTGGAACACATACAAATACACCTAAAACCACCCAAAACCATGAAGCATCCAGCCTTTTAATCCAACCCCCAAATGTCCGTGCCTCTCTCACAAATAGTCTTTTTCCTCACTCCCCTCTTATGCTTTCATTCCCCCCTCCCTTTACCTCTGCAGCCTCTATTTAGTTGCTATAGAAACAGATTTGTTTGAAAATTCAGTATAAGGAGACATGCCATTCTGAAAATTTGACAAAAAAAAAAAAAAAATTGGCCCACCCTTTTCCATTTCACCAACATCTAAAGCTCATTTGCAACAATTTTCACCAGTGAAACAACGGTCACCATGACTACTGTTAAACCACCGACACGCTGATGCAAGTAATAGCGACGGCAACACCAATGGTGCCTCTAAGGCTACCAGAGAAGCCGAAGACGATGACAGAGCTTTGATACACGCTGCCAAACACTGTGTACACACGCACAAAGCTGACCACCAGCCATAAGTCACCACTGGGCTTTGTTTACAAATGGAGGGCACTTGTTTAACACAGACACGTTGAAAGCATTTCACCAGCTAGCAACATGGAACGAAACAATAGCGAGCAGAAAGCCGAAGCCGCAGCTGCTACAGTTTAGCTCTGGTATCAGCAGTTCATACCAGCACTTTAGATGGTGCAATGCAAGGGATGCAATTAACACTCGCCGGAACTAACCAAAAAAGTGGAATGAAACTAGACTAGGACCTAGAACTATACTTCTAGATTACTGAAATGCTGTGACAGTCCTTTACCCAGTTTTAAGGGACAGAAGAACCTAGTCAAATGGTTTGCATGAAGTAAAGGTTCAATGCACACAACTACATTACAAAAATGGTAAACATAATTCTCACTATGAACATAAACTATAGTATACTATGAAATGTTCTGTATGTACACAACCTGCAGACTGTAGAACAAAGACACAAGAATACTGTCCCAGTAGAAACTTACAAGGTACAATGGGCTTTCCATGCAAGTACATAAAATACAGTAGAACCCAGATCGTACAGACCCATAAATTACAAGCTCGAAATAAAGACCAACAGCACCCAAGTATAGGTTCATGGTGAGGTACATATCTGACTCAGAAGGTTCCTTTCTCAGGATAAAATACCAGGGATGAGTTAAATCAATATAGGGAAGCTGCTCTTGTGGCAATTAAGGAGGTAGTCCTAAACCTGATGGTTGTGAGTTCAAGTCCCTCAAGGACTATAGTGGTGATACATTTAGGCAAGGTGCTTAGCATCATAGAACTGCTCTGGTAGCTAAAAGCATCCCACTCTAAAAATGGTTACATTTGTTACTCACTTTGTATAGCAGCATTATCAAGGATCATGAAATAGCCAGATTCCTGAAATGAGCCAAATTGTTGGGGGGGGGGGGCTGGTGGTACTTTCCAAACAGAATTAAACCAAAATCTCATCTTTGCACCAAGTCTCTCCAACACCCTGGCGCCTGCCCCTGGCTTTTTGGCTTGTGCCCTCTCCTTCTCCCTCCTTTTCTGTCCACTGTGACCAGCCCATCCCCCCACCCGCTTCTCGCGTTCCCCTCTGAAGGAATGCAAAAAACACATCTGGAACTCATTACAGAGATGGGGGGAGGGGAGGAGGGAAAAAAAGGGGAAGAGGTCTTGGGAGAAGAAGAGAGAGAGAGGGGGAGAGAGAGGGAGAAGGAGAATGAAAGAAAAAAGAGGTAATGCAGAAACTACAGAGAGAGAGAGAGAAAGAGAGAGAGAGAGGGAGGAAAAGATTTACTGAGGTAGCAGAACGCACCTCAGAAGACAAAGAGGCAGAGAAAGGAGGACTAAACGAATGAGGAACAGAGGGACAGATGAAAGGATTGAAGGAAAACTTCTTAAATCCTGCTTTGTTTGGTTAACACTCTGCATTATTTGTCAACAAATGCAATACAGATGTGACAGTAAAGAGCTATTATGCAAAATAACTGTATTTGCATTGTAACAGACACACCAAACACTGACACACAATACAGCAACAGATGTACATACAGTAAAGCACAACAAAGAAAGTACAGAGGTCATTTTAATATTTAATGAGATGTTTAACACACTGTGTGTTTTCTTGGCCATGAACAGCAGTACTATAAGCATGAGGCACTATACTCTGAGTTTGAAACAGTAGGGTTGGGCGTGATGCTGTAGTATAGGTGTTGGCAGTATTAAGGTGTGTCACTTTCATTGAATTTATTGGATGGCTCTGTATTGAATTTGATTTGGTGTCAATACTGCTTCAGTTTGCTTGTACAATTTTAATACAATAACACCAAGGTAGGCCTATACAGCTGTATACTGTTGTAATGCATAAGAATTACAGTGTATGTGTACTTGGCATAATAAAGTTGTATTGGGCAGAATGGTGATTTAGTAAAATACTGCTGTGTACTCAAATTGCTATAGCAGTATGGCGTTAAGGTTAATATAAGCAAAAAAAGATGTATATTCTGCTGTATATTTATACAACAGTATTTGGGAACATGACTGTTTACTAGCTACATTTTTATAGTCAACTGTCAATGGCTTGATTACAGGTAGCCTTTGGGGTGTGTTCGGATGGGCTGTGGTTGATACCGGACAACATCATGGTACATTTTTATGCATCGTGTGTGATAAAATACGCTATGATATTTTGAGCAGAATGGAAAGACGGTAGAGTCTGGCAGTTTTGCAGGGCATGCTTACAGAAGCCCCTCACCAATGTCTGGCTAATGAAAACGCCCACAAACACATACATCCCGCATCAGTGATCAATCTCGGCACGTTTCCGACGGCAGACACAGAGAGGCGAGCCATCATGGGAGAGGACTGCCCTGATCAAACAGGTAGCCCTCCCCCGCGTTAATGGGTCGCCACCGCCATGGTCCCCATACCATGTCCTACGGAAACGCCTCTGTGGCTCTTTATGTGCGGCCAAGCGCTATAAGGCATCGCCGCGCCGCCTCATGAATTACCCTTTGTGACAACCGCACTAAACGGTGCTTCGCAGTGAATGCTAACGACCAACAGTGGCATTACCGATTTCCCTTAAATGCCTAAATAATATGGCAAGTGAAAGCGCACCCGCCTCGGCGTCTCCCACCCCGATCGCCGTGGACCGCACTCGGCTGGCACCGAACTGCCATTTACCTGCATATATACACCGGCACCTAAAGCCCACACTGAAACAGACAATGGCACATATGACGGGCGATTTCTGAAACGAAGTTAGGGATTCATTTAGCATCGATCGCCTTCAGTACTGCGTGAAGCCCATTCTCTTAATGTTTTCTAGTCGATTTTATTATAGGCAGGCTATGACTTCGATTGCACAAGCGAAACACAGCAGTTAATGCGATTTACAGGAGCATGTCTGCATGTCCGGAGGGTATTTAGCCCGACTCTATCCGCCGATTACAAGAACTTCATTCTCGCTTTACGTTAATATTTAAATAAGGCCACGCAAAGGCCATATCCAACTAAGGCATTTCACCTCGTATGACCAATGAAATCTAATCCTACACCCCATACAAGCACGATTAATTGTATATACATTCTTTCCCAATAACCTTTCTTGATTGACAAATTACATATTATTCACCGAGGCACATGTAATTAAACAAAACCATAACAAACTCATTCATCAAGCAATACAGAGTGACCATATGTAATATAAAGCGATCGGACACATATTTTGCTTATTGTTAAATGGCAAAAAATATTAAGAGAAAAAAAAACTTTCAGGAATTCCCGGCTATTTCAACACTGAATTAGGCTGACAACGGGCTGCAGAAGATCACATGAAAGCGCATGACCATTCTAGCTGACATTAAGTGCAATAAATTCAGTCATACCTTTGTGAAAACTGAACGCAAAACTTAGAAGAAAGAGACTCCGCATGGTTTATCCGAGCTCATCAAAAATCTTCACCTCAGCAAAGTCCTTTGGCTGGCTTCTCTGAGTGGACAGCATCTAACCTTTCCTTTAAGATTTTATCTCTAATAAATAGTTGCGATCCTTTTAATTCGCATGGGCTCTTTTACCCTTATCGGGCACGCATTTACTCTGCTTTCGCTTAGGAACAATCCTCCTCCCTTTTTATTCCTGATTTGGTCACCTACGTAGCGGCAGCGCTTGGTTTTGACATTATCCCCTCCTGGCAATAAACGTTCTTTCGGTCTATGTCTCTCCACGGTCTGTAGTATCGGCACCACGGGAACCCCTCCTTTCGGTCATCTTTCCGCCTCCTTTCTCCTATTTTCGCCCCCTCCCCTTTTCCAAGAAAGTCGCGGTTTTATTCGAGTGTCGCTTTTATGTAGGGTGGTGCAGAATGTAAGAAGTCGGTGAATGCCAATGTTTTCAGGACACTTCCTATAAGGCTTTCTCCCCGTGTATCTCTCTCTCTCTCTCTCTCTCTCTCTCTCTCTCTCTCTCCCTGTTTCTGGGGAAGGATTCCGAGACACCCAGTTGGTGAACAGGACCCACGATCTAGTTAAAAGCGACAATGTATTACTTTATTGTACCACTGGAAATGACATCTGTAAATCACGAATTGTTCATAAAATGACGAATGTAACATTTCTCAACTCGCATATAACCCATTTCTTGAAAAAAATCATTCACCCTATCTCCAATGATATATATGAAATGTTCTTTTCCCAGTTTTGGAAATATGACCTCCGATTCAATAGTAGCGTTCAAATGACCGACGGACGCGATGTGCTGTGTGATATATATATATATATATATATATATATATATATATATATATATATATATATATGAATATATAATCTCAGTCTTTGTCTTCTGCAGCAATAGCTCCAAATGTACCATCATAATAACCAACTGGTTGTCACCTAGGACTTGTGAACTGAATAGGAAAATTGAAATATAGAAACACCGTCAACATAAAAAAAGTCAAAATGTGCTGACCCTTTAGAATATTTTTTAATCTCTATATCTGGAAACACCAGAAAATGCTGAATGGATGTATGTGATAGTGAAGGTAAGGAAGGCTGGATTTTGTTGATGTGAGGAAAGGTGTTTGACTGAATTTCTTCTTGGATTATAACTAGCGCTATAGAGTGGGACAGACATAAATTCAGAGATATAGGGCCTCAAAATCAGAAAGGTACTTCACGGAGATGAGAGACATACTGTAATATGGAGTAAAATAATAAATGTTAAATTAAAAAGAATGAAGGAAATCTGTTGCAGTGTATTACACATGAACAATGGGGTGCATCTTTGAATCTTTAAATATAGTATGTGTATATAAATAGTTAATTTGGCTAAATTCATTTTCTGCATTAGATTAGGTCAAGGTTTGTTTAAAGACATAGTCTAAATAGATATTTGAAGGACAGTGTAGGGAACAAAGTGGCCAAAACGGATTTACGTTTTTGAGAGAGAATGTAACATTTTGTAAATCAAAACGTCCAAGTATCTATTTGTTCTGTTTGTTATTGTCTAAATACGTATAATGGAGGATTTTTTTTCATGCATGGGATGCATTGTATACCAGCTAAATATTGTTTTAGCAACAGTCACAGTTTCAAAGAGGGGGAAATGCAGAAATCTAGGCTATTGTGGAATTGATGAATGAATACATTCCTTTTAAAATGAATAAGGGCAATATATAGTTGAAAAGGAGCGCAAGCATTGCAGATTTAAATCATTTTAGATCTTCAGCATATACATCGAAGTCGGCATGAATGAAGTCAAGAGTGATAAACAAAAGCTATCAAAAACAGTTTTTAGTACGGAAATGACCATGAGAGTAGCACCATCTAGTGAATATAACGAACTATTTCACAATGCAATGTGATGCGCAAGTATTTATACAAGAACAGATGGATCACAAAATAACAGCATATGAAAAGGTTACATGATTAAATGATTTGTGCATTTGTAAAATCGATTAATTGTATATTTCTTTATATTAACAATTGATTAAATATATCATATACTTATGCGTATAAATTGTACTACTTGACGACACATGTACTGATGTTTTCTACTAAACAAATATTGCTGCTTTCATTACTAATATATTACTGCGGTTTACACAGCTTTCTGCATTACAAATTTCAGCATATTTACTGAACTGTAGGCCTATATAATATTTCATTATTTGAACTACTGACTTCGAAAAACATACAGGTCTTAAGTTACAACCAATTCTGAATGATGACTTAGGCAACTTACCTTCCAACACCGTTTTCTCGTGAGGCTCTGATTTTCAACTCGATTTAAATAATCTCACGAGCGTCAAATTATAAAAAATGATATAAAAAAAATCCTGTCCACGATTTTTCATTTAATTTTTAAATCTTAAGAAATCACCTCAAATTTTTAAATGCTTCTCCCGAGAGAACTAGAATAACATAACATAACATAACATAACATAACATAACATCTAATATCTAAATTGCATAAAAATAAACTTGAAAACACTGTGCGTTTTAAATGGTATGCATCAGCACAGGTAACGAACTAAGTCAAAAATTAAATTATAAGAAAAAAAATATATAAGAGAAATATTATTATTACTATAGAAAAGAAGCGCTTTCATAGCACTGCTCATCTAGGATCCACATCTCTGCCGGGACTCGAACCCGGAGCCTCTGGATTAGAAGTCCAGCGCGCTATTCCATTGCGCCACAGAGACCAAGCCTACTAAGCAGGCGCACACCAGGTTTGAAATTTATACGTGTTTCTCTAGCATTTTCCATAGCATCTCTCAGCATCAGGACCAGTACGCCGACATTTTGGTTTTCAGTAGACGAGACGGTAGAGGGCGCCAGAGTAAAGCTATTGCATCATTACATCAGAGCCAAAATGTCGACTTTTAACAGCTAATCAAGTGTATTCCCGTTAATAATTAAGCTTTTTCCACAAAACACTTGTTACTAAATTCTGCATAATAAATGTTAAAACACGTTATGTACGCTACATTTTGTATAGCTTGTATTTTTTATCGCAAAATCAAGTTTTGCAAAAGGCAATTTAATCGGCGATAAAATTATGTTCTTTGGCGTTTCTTTGTGTAACATATTTAGCATATATGTTCATATTTCCCCTGTTTATCAATGCAATTTCAAGAGACACACCTAAATAATATATCTTATTATAACATCGATCGTCGATTATACCATGGACAATACGCAAACTAGTTACGTTTACCTAGCTCCATATAACGTATATTAAAGTTAATATTAATACAGTACGTAAGCAGTTATTCGAAACTTGTGTTTACAGAAGACAAAAATAAGAAAAGAAAAGAAAACGTCTAACGTTCATTCTGAGGATTTTCAGTTTGATATGTGTTTCGCTTTACTTTTCGGAATTTCCTTTTCTCCGTACCGTAAGATCGAGTTAAATACCAGTTACGGGTTTGTAAGAAAATAACGTTCATCTTATTTCTTAGGTGTGACACAATTAACTGAAAGCTGTAATTGCACTGACATAGTTGTGGAGAGTATTAAACAAGCATCGTTTATTAGTAGTATTGACATATCTATCACATTATCGATCAGTAATGACATAATTGCCATGTCCATGATGTACAAAAACATCAACCACAGACAAGAAAAGCGTAAAAAGAAAAATGCATATATACAAAACAGTAGTGATGTTTCTACATATGTCTGTAAGGTTGTGCTATACAGAAGCTATCAACAACTTTGGAAATACAAAATTAAATGCTTCAAGCAACATTTTGTAATTACCATTAAATCTTTCAGAACTACATATTTCCAAAAATGGACAGTACTGTCCACATACATAACTGCTGAATAATAATGTAATAAATATTAAAAACGAGTTAAAAATATGTATGCAAAACAGCATTCATTTTACATTTGTGCAAGGGTTTGTGAGCTAATTAGTCAGATATCCAGGGTACAACATAAAGCAACAAAGCCCCCTAAACTGGCCATTAACCGCTCAACACAAACTGTCAGTGTTACTACAGTAGCAGGACAATTAAACGTGGTTTTAAATCCACTTAATATCTTTCATTAACCCTGTCTAGCAAAGCTACCTCATCAGCTAATTCACATTAACACAAATGACAGCTTGTGATACAGGCTATGGCAAGTCAATGCCACTTAACCACTTACATAAGTTTCATCACACATTATTCGTAATATCTTACTGGCCATACTCCCCCCCCCAGATTTCAACGTTTTCTCTGAATTGTAACCAGCCAACAAAATTATTAGGTTAGATGTGGGGAATGTCTAAAATGACAGGCTAAAAGGCTAGCTAGCATAAATAAGCATTCAGAATATTAATTGTGGAACACCATGTAACTATTTATTGTATTAAACACATCAGGGCCAATTCAGTTAAAACTGGAAAGTCGATGAATAAAGTAACTGCAGATGCATAAAGAACACAGAGATATTTTGATGCTTTTCCACACTGCTATTACCTTCACTGATAATTCCAGGTCATACCATGTGCTAAGGAATATTCACGAATATGAGATAATTATTTCAAATGAATACTAAGAGAACAAAATCTTGTCCAGTTCATATATTGTCTGGCTATGATCATCAGCAGTAATAACCATAATTTATTCCACAATGTTTTCTGAAGAAAAATGCCATTTACCACAATTCATTATCCAGTCATAAAAACTGAATTTACATAAACCTCCAATATTCAAAGCAGGGTTGTATTTACTCAGTTGAACTTATCATATTCCGAATCAATCATCCGTTAAATGCCACTTAATGGAGTTGTGTTAAAAATACTACCAAGCTTGATCTTTTTCCAGTTAATCAAAGGTTGTTCCATTGACAGTCATTGATGGGAATGTGAATTTTTGTATAAATTATTCTTCTCTACTATTGCTCTTACACACACACAGACAGACAGACAGAAAGACAGAAAGACACAGAGACAGACAGATGTTGAATGAGAGAGGCCTCTACAGGAATCAAAACAGTTAAAAAACAGAAGCCATTTCTTCAAACATACAAAATAACCAAAACTTAAAAGAATGACTGATTTATCAAGTTCAGTGCAACATTTATGTTCTTACTCATCCCAGGAATGACCCACTGCAAGACATACCCAAAGAAAAATACGCAAACAAGATTCTGATTAAGAAATGACAACAATCGATGACAACAATGGAACTACATATGTGCTGAATGTACACGTACAGAACTGCTGTGTAAACGGTGTGCTTTACAAACTCAGTGCGAGAACAGTGTGCTTGTGTGTAATGCAATGATCCCGCAGAAACTTCCCTGAAGGGTAACCTAGGTGTGCTGGGAAGATGGGAGACGTCATTAAGCACTGGATCAGCTGATCCGACGAAGCACCACAGTTACCAGTACAATACACAACAAAAACCAGACCCTTGACTTCAGCCCCATATATTAATAACAATAATAATCACCACTGTCAGTCTGCTGCTCAGCAGCTGTTAAAAGTAAGGGACAAGTACACTGGGTAGTATTTCACTGTGCACCGTGCAGTCAGTTAAACATCCAGGTAATGCCTATTTGAGTCAACTGCGCATGACGATAGCTGATGCAGGGCAGATACATGTTATACGCCAGATCCCGCAGATTCCCCCAGCGTGCAGATGTCACAGTCACAGTGAGGAGACGAGTTGCATGGTAGGATGGAACTGGGGTCTTCAGCCCGAGGCTGCTGGGGGTTGGGGAGGGAGGGGCCCCCCGGCCGGCACACGGGCCCCAGGGCCGCGGCCCCTCGGGCGGGGTGTGGGGAGGGAGCGACACGCTACCTTCGTGCTGCCATGCCGGGCTCCCGTGACCTGGCCTCCCACCTCACCTACGAGAAACCCTGCAGGGGCTGGCTGACCCGCATGCAGGCCCAGTAAAGGCCACGGCCCAGGCTCAGCACCACCAGCAGGACCAGGGCGGCCCAAGATACATAAATACCCCTGTAAATCTGGGCATGATTCCACGTACCAGCCTGAAAAATAACAAAGACAAAAAAAGAAATGAAGATGCTGTTTCCCCAACTGCTTTTCAGAGTTAGAGTTGTCTACGCTCACTGCACAGATGCGACATAAGCTTAGAGCACAATCAACGGTGTACAGAACCAGCTACAGTATAACCCCCCCCCCCCCACCAATAAACTTAATTAAAATTGTTTAATCAAACTATTAATTAAGACATAACTTCCCTAAATTAGGTTTTCGGGAATCATTGCAAAAAAACAGTTTTAATGCAAGCTCCGAAACAGTATACATTTATTATAAAAATGCAGTATCCAGGGTGTTGTGTGCACGTTGGCAGCGTGAGGTGTGAAATGAATGTCTGTCGCAAGCGGCAGTGTGAACACAAAGTCAGTGCTGAGGAGTGTGCAGTGTAGCAGAGTGACATCAGCACTCTCACCACCAGGCCAGCAGTGAGGACACTGAAGAGCAAACACAACAGGAAACACCACAGGCTCCGTCTCCGGGGATACCTTCGGCCAATCGAAGAGCTGCAACAAAGGGGAAAAAGATAATCATAAAAAGATATTGTTTTACACCTAATATTATATGTTAAATTCTTGGCTTACTTTAGCAACCGCATCCTTGTTAATTATTTAATTTTTTTCAGCAACGTGAAACATTCTGTCATCAGTGGAACCTGGCTGGACTGATTCTTGGGACCTGCGGCCCTCGTATGATCCCAAGCTGACCTTTGACCTGGGGGGTCCACACCCTGACATTATCCGCTCCAATGTCTTTTCTTAGTTACAAGGTGCTAAGAACCATCTCTGATAGCTCCCACATAATTTCTTTAAGTCATGGTCTTTACTTTCAGAATACAGGAAATAAAAGGAAAATACACTATACACAAAAGCACCACATTACTTTTATGGACCAAACACTTTTGCCCGAAGTGAGATACAAGTGAAGAAAGCTTGCAATCAGAGAGCTGGGTCAGTCAGCCTCCGGAGAAAGGCCTCGCTCAAGGGCCTGATGGTGATGCTTATTCTAGGATTCAAGCCATCAACCTCACAGACACAAACTCAGATTCCTACCCTACTGCACTATGCAACATTCCAACAGATTTTATTTAGTAAAACCCTTCACACCCAAGCCATGCAATTTATAGCAGAACTACATGCCTAAACGAACACACATCGTTTCCAACTCGACAAATCTTACGTTACCCACAGAAAACTCATACGAAGCCTTAGACAGACAGACAGAGACAGAGCACAATCCATATCGCAGCTACTCCAGGTTATGTCAAAATCCCTATAAGCCTTCATCTTCTCAGATGCCACCCATAGCTAAATTCCGGAACTCCAGCTGAATGTGAAGCCCAGTGGAATGGTCAAACCCGGGAATCAAGTAACACACAGAGACACTTACACCTTCCTGCAGTGAGGACATCTGGCGAGAGTCTTATCTGTAAATTCCGTCCACTGAAACACAGGAAACGTGTCATTAGCAGGTCACTAGTGTTTCATCATAATGACTTTGGTTACATTGATTTAGATGCCATATGCCAGTGAGGATCACAAAAAAATTGAACAAAGACAGTCTGTCTGCAGACAGAAGATCATGACAACTGCTCCTACCAAGAAAGTGCTGCTACAGTGTCCGCAGGTGACCCGTACCCCCGCTGGCTGGGGGTCAGGACTCGACGGGCCCGGATGCACAGGACCCAAATTTATTACCCTCTTACTGCAATAAAAGAGCAACAAGAAGCAAACTAAGCCTGGATCAGTTAGCCAAGCCAATCCAGCTATAGCTGCTACAGAGGACCAATGAGCTATAAGCAGTGCAACACATGGCTTCTCAGTACATGGCTTATCCTGTTTGAGTTCGGGTCAAGTTTTAAAGCTACACCAGCAAACAAAGCCAGACTCACGGAGAAAGCCAGGTGGTATCTAAAGTGAGATTAAAAATAAATAAGATAAAGGCATAAACAACAATAAAAAAAGGTTATTAACAATAGTTATGTATGTTTTATACAATAGGCTTTGGATTTTGACAAATGCACAGGAACACATAATTTAAGTCGTTTACTGATCAGAACATTTAACTAATGGGATTAAAAGAAAATTCAATCAATTTTGCTTTATCGAAAGGAATTTGGTATGAAAGCCGTAAAGAGGTCCCCACCTATTAGTAAAAATGTGTTTGTGTGTACAGTGTGATATATTTCACTTGATGTAATCAGTCTTTTCCCAGGAACTTTTGAAGTTAATTATTGCCATATTACCAACAACCAGGTTGATTTCAGAAAGTTTTTTTTTAAGATCAGTTTTGTGTCCAGCCCGCAGTTTTGCATTGTCTTGTGTTTTTGCTTATTAAGTATTAAGACCCTCGCCCTGTCAATGCCGTTATATGCTATGCCGTGGTCCTGGGGAACACTATTTCCTGTCACTGTATACGTGTATATGCCGTGGTCCTGGGGAATACTACTTCCTGTCACTGTATACGTGTTTATGCCGTGGTCCTGGGGAACACTACTTCCTGTCACTGTATACGTGTATATGCCGTGGTCCTGGGGAATACTACTTCCTGTCACTGTATACGTGTATATGCCGTGGTCCTGGGGAACACTACTTCCTGTCACCGTATACGTGTATATGCCGTGGTCCTGGGGAGCACTACTTCCTGTCACTGTATACGTGTATATGACGTGGTCCTGGGGAACACTATTTCCAAGGTGGTGGTGAAAGTGGTATCAAGAACGGAGTACCTCTCTATCACCACTGTCTGCCTGCTCATTACTACTCATAACTCTGGCCTAGGAGTCGTAGTTACCAAGAATTACAAATTTTTTCAATTGTTGGGTGGTCAGTTTTTGAAGACGCCAGTATTTGAAGACAGGAGTCCGAGGCTCTAAAAATGATACAAGTCTTCTGCTGTTCACAGTCAGTGAAGTCCAGTGCTAACAAAACAGCTCAGTTCTTCCCTGTAAAAATAAAGTTTTCCACTGGTATAAGAATAATAAAAAGCTGTCAATTAACCAGAACAGTGAATATCAACTACAGAACCATCTATATATAGCGGGAAATGGGATAGAAAACTTTCCCTGAAGTCCAAAAACTGCTGATAATAAGTATTTGGGTGAATCTGAGAAGCTTTGTTATTAGTCACACACAGGAAGATATTTAACTTCATTAGACTGCAGTAAGTAATGCTGCACAAGTCTGTCTGGTTCAGAATGATTAGGCTGATGTAGAGGTTTTCTAGATGAGGTCTGATCTGTAGTGCAAAAGGTCAAAAGCACATAGGTCTGGTTCTCGTACAGGTTTGAACATAAAGATGGAAGAGCGCAGCGTGAGCTGGCCTGCATCCAGATTCCGTCTAGAGATTGCTCGCTTATTGCAGGGCTGGGTTTAAGCATCTGTTCTCAGATGAGGGTTCATTTACTTCCACATACAAACTTTGAAAAGGGGAAGTTCTGAATGCCCCAAAGGCAAGACGTATGCCTGGATGATGAACAGTATCTAATATCTTTAAGTGTGGCCTCCTAGCAGAGCCATAAAATATTCTCCCAATCCAATTGAGAACGATTCAGAACTCTGAACAAGAAAGTAGTGAACTCTCTGTACCCCGTAGGGATTTTGCGAGGACCTTCATAAGATCTACAACTTTTATATATTTCCTCTTCAAATTCTTGACATGGAATAAAATATATTATCTATTATTGAAGATAAGAACAAGGATCTCAACCTCCTTTGCTACTTTGATGCGGTCTACATGATGGGGGCATAATGAACAAAAATGTGTACAGACAGATTTTGTCTTAGATCATTTTAATCCATTTAACTACTGAACAGATGAGGATCTTGTTCATAATTACGTGCAGTTTCCATTCAACCCTATTCTAGCTTTTGCCTTTGCGGAAGATGCAGACTTCATCTATATAAATGTATCCTGCCTTGTTAAAACTTGTGTTTACTAACCAGAGACACTGCAGTATCTACAACATTCAGTGTGAAGGTGGCAAACATGTCGCATGTGAACTGAGGACATGCATTGCGTATGTGTGGGGAATGTGGAGGAATAGTGACTAATAGGTGTTTGTTCTGGCATATGGTTTGAGCAAACAACGTGTTAGACGTGCGAGTTTTATTAGGGATCATCGTGTCTCTTACCAGTATGGCCGAGGACAGGCGATCCGCTGTGAAGTAACCTTACAGATAAGCAGGCAGTTGCATGGACAACGGACATACTTCTTCCCCGCTGGAGCGTTTTTAATGGGCTGGATACCGGGGGAGGAGGGGGGGGGGACAATGGAAAAGATTAAGTGAAAGATGGAGAAAAAGGGAAAGATGGTGGAGGCGAAACAGAGGGCCCAAATAGCAGGAAAGAGAGAGAGGATGTGAACAAAACAGCAAAAGAGAACATAAACAATCATGCACAAGCTGAATGTAACAAAACAAGGGAATTCAAAGAAACCTAACCATGTGTTTACAAGTAATCTATCAGTTTTTCTTTGACTGGTATGAGACACAGAGTGGGGTCATAACTGAAGGGTACTGGGTTGTGCTGCAATGATCTTAAACAGAAACAAACTGACCAAACATGTGCTAATAAAACAGCCTTAATAAAACACAACGGTCTCACACAAAGGTGAGTTCATGCATCATTTAGCAGTATTCCTTCTAGAAATTCTGAGCTATTCACCTGCATGTTTGAGTGAGCATAATGTACTGCAAGCCTGTGTATAAGGAATGCAAGTCTACAGATTTTAGCCATATTATGAAAAAATGCCATATTTTCTTTCAGTTTTATTCAATGCTATTCTGCATAAAATAAAGTGCAAATTATTTGGTTTTGTTTTGGGGATTTCAGGATTCAGGTCATTAATTACAGTGAAATAGGTAAGAAAAGAAAGCGCACAACGCAGGAACACAAACAAGCCTGTGTGTGTGTGTGTGTGTGTGCACAAGAGGGAGTGTATGTGTATCCGGGGGGCGTGGCATTCTGTTCGCACCGTGGCCTCATTGCAGACTCCACACTTGACCACGTGCTGGTGTATCTTGCCCTCCACGCTAATGAGGCTCTGACACACCCTGCAGCTGATCATAGGGGCATTGCTGCTCTCGGGGGATGCGATAGGGGAGTACTGCGGAGGGTCATCCTGGGGCAAAAGTGGGGGCTGGCTGGCGTTGGAGAAACCAGCGAAGCCTCAGAGAGAGAAGAGAGAGAGTGTTCATAGACACACTGACGGACCAGAAAGTACAGTAGACTAGGGCTGCACGATATCACATCGCAATATACTCGCGATTATATGGCGCATGCGCAATAATCACCAGGGCTTTTCACGACGGGCAAAACATTTGTCCGTACGCCAGCATTTCAGTACTATGCAGACGTTTACTTATGCCCACAATTTAGTAAGCAGATTAGTAGCGAGCTTAAAATATTAGTCAGCTGTACATATTCGGCATATCCTTATATTTAATAAACATGTGGGACTTTAAATTACAAAAAGGGCTGCCACAACACCGTCTGTTTTATCAAAAGATGCTACGGCTGGTGAGCTGTCCCTTTCTTCAGCGCCACTTTCGTGCCACTTATCGCTTCCATGATATACCAAACAGTAGCATGTAGCGCTCCGCTAAATGACTTTAGTAAGCATAAGGATACACTGAATTTATACAGATTACTAACTCATGAGCGTCACAATATACATCTCATTGATATTTTAGGCATACTACTACACATCTTCTTATTGCGGCCTTAAGTAAACCGAAAAGCTGGTATCCGGACAAATGTTTCGCCCGTTATCTAAAGCCCTGGTGATTATTGCGCATTGCGAGTATGTGATATCATGCAGTAGACTAATACTACCAAGTTAAAGTATGTATAGTACACTAACACTGGCAAGAACGACAGTACACAACAAATACAAACTAACCTCTGTACTAAAGAAGAAATCACAATATATAACAAGGGCATAGATTTGGTTTCAACAGGGGCCCTAAAATATTTGGAACTGGATTGGTCTGGATTGGGAGCCGAATATCTTGTGCTTTTAGGCGGCCCAAAATCTCTAGGGGTGTCCTTATTGGTAGGGATATGTTTTTACCAATCATACCGAAATCTATGTCCTTGATATATGCTAACTCTCTGGATATTACTGCATTTTGATAGCGCTTACAGAGATGATTAGTATAAGATAAAGCAACAAACAATTTTACACTGGCAAAGAAGGGCAGAGAGATGCACACTGGCGGTATAGACAGGGAGAATTCATTCGATTTATTCCATTATTATTACAAATATCACAGGTATACAAGAGGTCTGTATACAAGAGGTCTTCATACATGGTGAGTTTATCAAAATGATGCAAGGGCTATCAAACTGATGTTTAATGAATCATTTTTAGTGATGCACCGATAAGAAAATCGGCTGTCACTATCGGCCAAAAATTATTTTAAAAAACTGACATCGATACTGATTGTTTGGGAAGTTCTGCTTAAATAAGTTTAAAGGGACACTCCACCCAAATAAATTAAAATAAATAAATTACATTCCAAAAACATGAAAAAGTATTTTTAGTGAGAAAACAACTCATTCCCAGAGCACTATATTTTATAACTGTATACATCTTATATATGTATAACATTTATAACAAAGGGTTGATCATCAAGTGTGATAAAACACATTTTCGGAGTAATATCTTTTGAATTTGCACTGTCTGCACTTAATTTCATTTTGCTATCAAACGCTTGCGTTACTGACTACCCTTATTGGGCAGTATTGTAGCCCTCTTTATTGGAAGGAAGTTGTTTTTCAGAAACGCTTCATACTCTTCACTGTCTCGCCTTAAGGTGAACAATCAAATTTGTTGAGTTGAAATTTTATTTTTATTTTTTAGCAAATCCTTAGATCTAGTGAAATTTTAGCAGAACAATGCTTACACAATACATTCATATAATAACGTTAAAATAATTCCACACCGCTATTGGAAAGCAATATGGATCACCATTTTAAAGGGAATTATCCGCGGTATATATCAGCTCATTTTAACCGTGGGCTGATGGCTGATTGTTGCTGTATCGGCCGATCTCAATCAGACAACTGCCAGATATTGTGGTTGTGTTTCAACAGAGAAATATGTAAACTGTGTCGGATTCTGGCCGTCCGGGACTAGGGATCCCTGCATTAGTTTAATACTTGCATTTACAACGGGATCTTAAATCTGATTTTCGCTTTTTTAATGTACAGCTCCTGACTAGTACCAGATAATTATAATTTAACACCTAACCACGGTCAGACAGCCGGCTCATTCTGGATGATATTATGTTAATACCCATGCCTGTGAATAATCCTGTGCAGGATTCTGAGCTTTAGGTGTTCTGGCCCACAATCCGCATTCAGCAATTTCAACAGCGGTCTCCCCTTAAACAGTATCAGTCTACACTATCCTACACACATACCCTGCAAAAGAAATACCAGCATATTCACAGTCATTATCCAAAACTCTAGTAGTACAAAGCGTACACATACTATAACTAGTTGATGTAAGTGGTCATTACTGTGACTTAGTACTCAGAGTGAGTAACTCTTCCGTTTGAGTAATGAGGCAATAAGGTTCAGCAGGCAGCTCAGCCTAAAGGCGCTTTGCAGCAAGTCCTTTAAGAATGTGCTATGTGATATCAAATACAGGGGGTTACTTCTAAGAATATGTGTCTGTGTGAACAATAAGAATCCCACTAATAACCTAAGATTTAACGTGTTGCATGTGTTAAGAGAGCGAAAAAAAATGTGCAGGAGTTTAAAGGAGCCGTAGGGGAAAAGGAGGGTTTGTTTTTGGAAAACGCAATTTTTGGTTGCTCTGTTAACGGTTATACTGGATGATTTATTTTCCTGGGGCAAGACAAATACAGGTAACACTCAGGAATTCAGTAGCGATGAATCAATGATGAAACTAAGCGTACTACTCTGAAACCCGTTAAACAAGCTCGGATGAAAACTGATATCGCTCTAATACTCGAAAATAGCTGGTCTTCCGTATAAAACTTAAAAAAAAAAAACTACTGAAAAACACGAGAAAGTTCTGGTCCTGTATCTGCGTACCAGCACAGGGACTGCACTGCAACCGCAGAATTGACTTTTTAAAGGACATTAATTGCACATCTGCACACGAATCCTACATCTAAATGCCAATCAAACCATAAGAGCTATCGTGCAATACGAAGCTGTCTACTGACAGACACGATCTGCAACTAGATTTTCTGATACTGTTACAGTATAGAAGGCCCATAGTGGGGATATATTCATACCTCACGAAGCGTACATCCTTACCAGATAGTGCTGTCAACCTGCTGCGTAGAATCAAAACAAATTGAATACATGAACAGCTTCTCTGTGATACACCCCTGAGTTTACAAAATAGCAAGTGGCTCGTTTTGTGACGTTTTGCGCAGTTAGCTACTCACTTTGCGGTTTGGACGGCACGCTGAAAGGTGCGATTCCCGGTAAGGCTCCACCATTACTACCTTCCCCCGGATCGGAAAGTAATGGAGACCGCTCACCGTCTGCCATACCGAAGGCACGGGAAGGGGGTCAGAAACAGAAAAAGCGGTGAGGTGACAGCCGGCGGCACTGGTCGATCTGACACGGTAAGTCAGCCACGGTAAGTCCAGAAAGGATTTAACCAAGGAGAATCATATGACCCACAGTGCGCATGCACAGTGCAGGAACAGGAAGAAGCGGCGAACCTGACATTTCAAAATAAAAGTCAGGGACTTGCAAGCCAACATTTTAAAGTAGTACTGCTTTAGTCATTGTCACCAACTCATTTGTTTCCTTCTAACCATTGCAGTTTACTGTAAATAAGTAGTGATTTTTAAAACATAGGTGTTTTTTGTGATTGTATACTTTGTTGTATGTTTATGGTTATTGTACTTTAATGGATTTTTCTAAATATTCAGTATGTGTTTTTGTAATTTACATCCAAATTACCCTTATCAGCAGAGATCCTCATTAAGTAGTAGAGATGGTCAACTGTTTATCCTGATCTTAGATGGCAATGATCGTTTTTTTGTGACCTTATCGCAGCCATTTAGAAAATAACAACGGAAATTATTCACTCCCCTGAAGATTCTGTATTGGTTATACAATTGGATGGTTACATGCAAATTAGACCAGATCATAATATGCTAGCATATATCCCAAGCAAGGAGCTGATCAATAACCAAATCATATTGACTGTATAATGTTCTAAGGATTAGGAGCTTCACAGCAACATCAAGGTACATCCCTACCGAGGCTCCGTCCCCAGGAAAATAAAGACTGGAATCAAAAGGGAAATAACCATTTACTTAAGATTAAATATTTAAATTTTACAACTCACACTTAAAATGAAATAATATCACATTCCCTCATTATCCTTTTAAACTCATAAATATATAAATCCCTGTATCTGTTAAACAGCAGCAAACAGCAATATTTTAACAAAATGGGAACAAAATATAGCCCACAATGATATAATACTTGTGTAGCAGTAAACTTGTAAGCAAGTTGTATTGTTAGAAAATACATAATTATGTACAGGTAACCCACAGATAGTAAGAGCAATTAAATATGATCAAAAGGTAGCAAATTGGTGAGACATATTAAGTAAATTTGCAGAAAAAACTATACTGCATTTTGCTTTAAAAAAAAAGTAGAAACAGCAGTTCAACCCAAATGCAACATTAGTATGCATATACTTCAGTCCATAAATACTGCACTCTAGTGGTCATTTAAGGGCAGTGATCCCACGTGGGACCAGGTTACGTAATCAGTACTGTAAACTGTCGATTTGTGCAGAGGACAGGATCGTGGGCAAGGTCGTGCAAAGAGGGCAATGAGTAGTGCATGGAGAAATGTAGGACACTTAAAAAATAGATAAATAAATAATGGAGGTGTGATTAAAACAAGAGACAACTCATTATCATCATCATAAACCCCAGTCCTGACCATCCAGCGACTTAGACGTCATAGTCTGGTACGGCTGAGTAGCTAATTCCCCCAGCAGAGGGAGGACTGGAGTGGAGAGGGAACAGCCAGCACCACACTGACCCTAGATCAGAATCAGGAGAGAGAGACAAAGAAGCGATACAGTCTTAAAAATTACTGCTGTAATAGACATGAACACTGAACACATACAATCAAACACTGACTGCTACAAAAAAGACCATTTAAATACCTAAACAAGAACAATATACCTATCCAGACACACACCATTACACCAGTCAAGCGTGCTGTATGAAAACTTTATAGACATCCACTTTCTACAAATTTAGACCTACTGAACACATGAAAATAATGTACATATAAGATAACATAAACGCAAAATGGTTGAATATTCACCTCTTCCAAAAACCTCCCTGAGAAGTGCAATTTTTGGTTTGCGAGTGTGTGTTGTGTGTGTGTGCTGAGAGTTAGATGTCTTGTCCTTCATGAGTCTGTTCCTCATCTGTTCAATTGGCGTTTCATCTGTTATTATGGACACCAACTAGAGGCAGAAAGAAAGACAGTCTGTATATAAAGATACTAGTACAATTGGGGAAGCCATAGGAAAAGCCTGGTCTGAAGTACTTGCTTATGGGAGTTTTAATTATACAAAAATGTTCTGAGGGGAGAATGAAAAATTATTGAGAGAGATAACCAATCAAATTGGTAAGGAGGTGGTTCCAAGCAAGTTCAAGAGCTGGCATTGGTTAGTGCTGCCTCCTCTATCTGCATGGACCCATCTCCTCAACAATCTGATTGCTTACTCCTCTGAATCAATTATTTTTCATTCTGCTCTCAGAACATTTCTGTGTAAAACTCCCACGAGCAAAGTAGTCATCAATATCAATATCAATAGCCAAGAGTAGTTCAAGAGCCGCAGAAATTGACACTGCAGAAACAGCATCCCCTATCTGTAGTAAGCAGCAGTGACACAGGGTGACTTGGTTTAGCCCAGGTGTGTCAAACTCCAGTCCTAGGGGGCCGGAGCCCTGTGTAGCTTAGCTCAAATGATTTAGCTTATGAGCTCTGTGGTAATTAGCATAAGGAGTTGAATCAGGTGTGTTAAATGAGGGTAAACCAAAAACTGTGCAGGGCTCCAGCCCCCCAGGACTGGAATTTGACACCCCTGGTTTAGCCTTATACATCCAAACATAGCTATTCAGGAGGACCGGGTACCTGATCATAAAAGATGACTGTGACGAACACTCCAAACAAAACAGACTCCACAAGTAGGATGATATAGTGTGCTCTGAGAAAGGAGGAGAGCACAATTAGTATTAAACAGACACAGAAGAACAAGAGTCCACTTGGCTTCACTGAGACGGAAACACTGCCCCCCCCCCCCAATCAGATTTACTCACATGATCAAGTGTTTGCTGGGAGCTTCCTCCCCATCTCTGTCCCTTTCTCCATCTCCACCTCTCTCACTCCTTATTCGCCAGATCCACGCTGTTACCACCAGGGCAATGGAATACAGACTGGCCAGTCCTGGCAGACAGTCACAAAGTCTGAGTGTACGTCATTAACAGAGTGGATTAAAAAAAAGGAAGAAAAAGCACTGTTTGTAGAGAGGTGACATAATGATACAAACAGCAATATTAGCATAACATACAGTGGCAATAACGATGATTGCCTGTTGCGTACAATATTAAGGAGCCACAAGAGATTATTTATGTTACAGGAAAATTGGGTGATAAGTTAATTATAACCATATTTTAAAGTTTCAGACTGTATGTGTTCCAAGCAGTGCTGCAGCAAGAATCACGTGAAATACTGTTTTAACACAAGAAAACTTGTAAACCCTGTTAGTATGACTGCAGCTTGCCGTTACCAGTGTAGAAGAGAAACTGGATGAAGTACTTCTGGTTCAGCTCTCCCACACAGTTATTGATCCTGAAACAGATGTAGGCAGAAGCACACACAAGCTCAATAACAAATTAAACCAGGAAGAGCAGTCGGAAAGCTCACAAAGTGAAATATCACATGCTTTTACAGAAATGCATACGCCTGGTGTGTGGCAATGACAATAAGGAAATGCAGCATTGGAGGAAGTATGACCAGATGTAGCTACAGATGAGGAAGGCAGGTCAAAACAAATGAACACAGACAGCACAGACTAACCAGGGGCAGTGGTGATCCATGCGACGAATGCAGCGTTGACAGACCCTGCAATGGTGAGCGCGAGGTGGGCGGTAAGTTTCACATCTGCTGCAAATTGTCCATCCCTCACAGCCCTGGAAGAGAGCATTATTACTGATCTTCAGCCAGCCTGGATTCATGAAGACATCACTCAGCCAGGGCGGACCGAACATCGAATATTCAAGTACAGTCTAATCGAAATCAACATCTGCCAAAGACTATCGGCAGTGATTAGAGGTAGGACAACACCTGGAGCAGAGACGGCGAACAGAGGAGGATAGACGAGACTCACCCTGTCATTTTTGCGTGAAGACTGTGACCTGAGATCAGAGAAGTCTATTGCTGTGTCTGGCAGTGGAACCATACCTAGCAAGGGAAATTACAGTGTTATCGATGGGGCAGGAGACCAACGGGAGACATGATGAGTGCATGTGGGTACAGACAGGGTGTAGGACTATTGTTAAGCACTTATGGGGCAACGCAGTTAGGCTGTCATTAAACATTCGGGCTATGGAGTTACACAGGCTATTATCAGACATAGCATCACAACAACACATGCGGGTATTAATTAAAGGAGAATCCATCAATGCAAAGATTAGGTTACCAGAGCTTAAGCGATAACAATGCAAAGGCTGCAGAGGTGTGTGCAGTTAAGGCTTGTCCCCAGGCGTACTGACCTGGGTCAGAGAAGACAGCCTTGGAGTGACAGGCAAGCAGCAGCAATAGAATGACATTGAACACTGTGCCATGGAACGAACACCATACACTTCAACAGAGAGAGACACAAAAGAAATACGATTTTACTTCCAAGATCATTTCCATTGATACCCTTCCAATTGTGTAATACATCTACCTCTTATTAAATGGTATGAAACATGGATAGTAGTTCAATTTTTAATCCGTATAGAACACACCATAACCGCTTACTGAAAAATCAACATGAAAGAAATTTAGCTCTAGTCATATTTAACAGAAAGCCAATCCACTGCAGGGCATTCAGGCACACCTCCTGAACACTGGGTTTTGTGAGAAGATTAGAGAACCTGCAGGAAATCCGCACGAATACTAAGAGAATGTGTCAAGTGTCACAGTGAGCCAGTAACCCTGGAGGAGCAAGACAAGCCTGGTACAACTGTGACAATAAAACGCTCTCAAATAAACATTTTCATCAAAATGCATGCTAGTGTACTAGCTAAACTGCTTGCAAATAGTTTTCTAATTATGAACTATTAAGCCGTTTTAGAATAATATATAGTAGGTATGTGCTGAAACATAATCATGGTTTGAAAGGCCGTTGAAAACCGTTCAAACTATTAACACATGCTACTCACACATAAAATACGAATAATACACGGATAAGGAAAAATAGACTTTCATGAAGACACTTCATTCATAATTCAGTAACAACGAATGTCGTTCTATAGAACTGATACTCACATAAAGACTTGCCAATTCGTGTCTTTCAATGGTGCTGATACCAAAAATTCTAACTATGATCCTTGATTGAAAGGGGGGGAAAATACGCCACATACATATCGTGTGATTCTTGCACAGAAACGTCGCCTTAGCGCCAGGAGCAGAAGTGAGATCACGGCTGCACGAAGCGGATTAAGCAGCAGCCCGACGCCAGAGATCACGGCATATGCTAAAAAACACTCACCTTCCAGAATAGGCTGGGATCAGGACGTACTGTACAACCACATAATCGGCATAAAAAACGCTGAAATAAGTCAAAATCAAGCAGATAAAACCACAAGGATCTCGCCGACAGCGAACAGAAGCCATCTTTCAAAGAGCAGATTCTCTTCCGGGTTACGTCACAACACGAAGTTGACGTGTAGGATTTATTCTATCCAGTGAACAGGATTTTAGATACATTACAAACTTAACTTTCTGACTTTTCAGTAAGTGGTGTTTTTTTCATAAGTGGTAACCTTATTTTCAGTTCCAGGTAAACTAATAGTCCCTCCTGGCAATTTTGAAAAGTTCCCGTTTCAGAACTTCTGCATGCAATCCTTCAGCATATACAATTCATCCGACTGTCACCTGTCATCATGACTGCAGCAGCAGGATGTGGAGGAATATGCAAACGTGTTGTGCTTACACTTCCGGAGAACACCAGGGAAAGTCTGAAAGTGAAATAACTTGACCAAGGACTTCTGTGTAGGCTGGTCGACAATTTTAGGCATAATGTCTCAAAAGTCCCAGTTACAAGATTTCTTGTCTTCATCAGGACAGATATAAACATTAGTTTCACCATTAGAAAAAGACTTTGGCAAGTTATATTAGGTCATGGACAAACTGATTTAACTTGCTAAAGGAACATATCTTGAGATATCGTCAAAGATCATGTTTTGTACCGAGAGTAAATGACAGTGAGTACTTCAAATAGTTGTATCAACATTTCCAACATTTTATTTCTTCAGTATAGAATCTGGTTTGATACATTACATCCACAAATACATTAACCATGGATTATATAATTTGGAATGGATTATATAATTTGGAATTCACGACAGGAGAACCAGGAGGTAGCTTTTAAATTCTCCTGTATTTGAAAATGGCTTCCTTGATATTTCAAAAGTAGTATAGTTAATCCATTTTTGGATATTCTGAAGAATGCTGAATCTTCAAATCCACAAACTAACTTGGAGAAAAGAAAACTGATGAATGGGTGAATGTGGACAATGATGTTGCCACATTTTAGCTGATGAGCAATCTAGGTTGTTTACAGTCCTGAAGAGCTCATTATAAAACTAGACTCAGAGGTGGAGTTTTTTGTTTATTCAAAGTCATTAAAGATGTGTAAAATGTGGAAATTATGCTCTCAGTCATCTCAAATAAAGGGCAGGACCTACCTAGATTACACTTGAAGGCAACTTTATAATACAATTTTGGTCTTTGCATTTACATATTACATGTACACAGACAATAATTAACAATGATTCATGTAGTAATGGATATATCTGAAAACAAATCTGAGACAAACAATAAGTCTCATGACTGAACACAGGTTTCACAGGAAACAATGACGGTGACATTGTCAGCACCATGTTACCTTGTCTGATGATATTTATCTAGTTGAAGCTGAAGTTCTATAACTGACCTGGGATGCTGCTCAGCAGGAAAAGATTTTGCTTCTTTTATAGAACTTTGGCGTTGTTACCCTTCACTGCCAATAATAACTACAGCTGATCTGTGTTTAAACCAGCGTGAACATTCCTCTTCCTCAACTTGCGTGGAGCCTTTTGAAATTAGTCAGCTGGGTTGAGGATGAGCCTGAATCTGGGTCTTGTGCCTATGGAACATCACTTTATAAGATAGTATTACTGATAGTGCTGCTCTGTAGTGATTACAGATCTGCAGGTCCGGGAGGGGGGGGGGAGTGTAAAAAGAACACATGGAGACATTATGAGTATAGAATGGAAGTATGTCAGATATTTTCTGTCAAAAAAAGTGGCTCAGTACTGTATATTGAGTTTGTTCTGTATAAGGTGGAAGGAAATTGACTAGAAGATATTCCTTATCTGCAAATGACTTTGTGTGAGCTGTTCCTGCGAATTACTGGTGGTGAAAGTCTTACTGTTGGCCCTAGGGGCGCTTAGATCTGGACTGGCTGTTTAAATAGACTGTAAACGGGTGAAATCCATATACAGTAGATTCCTGACAGACACATGGGTGTGTGCAGACAAGCATAGATGGGTCATTCCATTTTAATTGAACAACTGTCCAACTAAGTTTTTGCGTCGCAGGTTTTGATTTTGTTGAAATTCGGCATGTGAATTTCATGTACTTATTTGCCATTACAGCTACATGGCTTAGCTCCAGCTTGTTAGAAAGCTCAAAAAGAGGTACTTTTTTCATTGCATTCTTCCTGAGCTTTCCAGTGAGCCATGTATTTGTAATAGTAGATAGTGACAGCTCACAGGAAAACTCTGAATTACCAGTTTTTTGCTACCCAGAGTGTAGAAAAAGTGCTATATTATTTATTTATTTATTTTAAATAAAAATATTGTGTAGAAATATATGTGTAATTCACTTGCCAAATTTGACAAAATTAAAAATGATTAGGCAAAGGCCATTTGTTGAATTAAAATGGGAAGACTGGGATACAAAACTAAACTTGGTAAACAAATGGTAAACAAAAGTCTGTGCAGACCAGGACTACAAATTTAAGATGAATTTTACCACAATTTTTGTTAGGTATTAACATTGCTGTTAATTCTGTCAATTACATCAAATTCATACATACTATAGCGAACATAATTCAGAGATATTTCATTTTACACTTTTAAGTGTAAAAATATTGTGGTATTGTTTTGACAGGAGATGACTATGGAAGCATAAACCCTAAATTCCTGATAATCACTTGTTTGCACCACTGGCACTAAAGCTATGACTGTGCACACTGCCACCTAGTGGTGAAGTGATTACTTTTATGTGACGAGGGATAGCATTTGGCAACCAAACAACTGAACGACATAATTATTGCTATTTGCACGGCGTATCGGGAAGCTTACTTGTTGACATTCATGTCAAGGATGCTTTTCACTGGCATGCTCTTTGGCCCAGGGGAGGGGCGGAATATTCCCCTCTCCTTTGTGGTTGATACGTCTTTTGGTCTTCTGGTGATGTATGGGTCTGCAGAGTGCAAGGGATAGGCGCCAAAAGTGCCAGCTTTCATGCCTGCCATCTAAAATAAGACAAAAATGGTGGAGTGTAGAGTTGAGTTTTTAAGATGAACCACAGGAATAACGTTCTTACCGCTAACGCCACTGTACATGATCACTCTCACCTTTTTGCTCGGTGAGCTTGGCTTGAACGGAACCGTAAAGTTCTTCTTTATATCTGTTGTTTTTACAGGGGGTAACGGTGCATCAAGCTTATAAGGATTTCTCTCAAAATACTCTTTTGGATGAAGATTTAAGCGGAAGACCCCCCCTTTCACCAGGGCTCTGTTTGCTACAATTTCTTTCTAGAAAAAAAAGAAACATTTTCCAGGACCTAGCAATGATCAAGGTAGAGAGAGCATCAGAACATAGAGGTTTATTAATATTTCTGGGCAGATATTCAGGACTTACCTTTAACATTTCCCTTGGTCTGTCATAGGGGTCTGCAGAATGGGATTCAAATCTGGACAGAGTTACATTTGGATATCTAAAGAAAATTAAAAATCCGTTTTCCAAAACATGCCAATAACAAATGTATTAAGATAAAAGCAAAAGGTGCACTTTTATTATAGATATTAAACTCAGTATTTCAGACGTACCCATATCCACTTCCCTTTTTTGCTGGGTTTGTTAAAATATTCTTCCCGGGTGATTTGTAGGGCTTTTTGGGAATTTGCAGTGCACTCACGGCGGTGATTGGTCCACTCAGTGTCCCGTAGTAACTGCCAACCCCCGAACTAAAACACAATGAGTCTCTTATGTGCAAATAATGTACTTCTGTATTACAAAAAGTAAAACTTAATAATTTAATATAACTTTAATAAAACGTCATAATAACTTTAATAAAATTATAAATTTTGAATATACAGTACTATGCAAAGGTCTTAGGTAACCAAAGAAGATTATTATGTAATGCATTGTTACACACCGTGTCGGGCTATTACATAATGCGGCATTAATACATAATGTGTTGTTATATTCCCCCATGCTGCTTAGGATAGGCCCCAGGGCCGCCCGTGATCCTGACCAAGGTAAATGATTGGAGGATGAATGCTACTGGTGTGGTGATGGGCATATCCTGCCATTTGCAGTAAGCTGCAGTTCACACTTGACATGAAGTATTTAAAATTCCTCTCTGGTTTATGATGCAATATATAATCATTACCAAAGCTGCCATTCAATGGCAGAGCTTTACATTCAATACTTGTCAGATTCCATGTCTTATCTGATACTATACTATTAAAAACTTAGGTGTCCAGTTCGTTTTAAATTGCTTTATATAACACATGTGTTACATGAAGGAGGGGTATTCCCTGTGAGCAAGGAAGCAAGCATTTCAATATGTACCAGCCGGTAATCGCATTGACTGGAGGAAAGTGAAAAACCTGACCCAAGTGCATCAAATTCAACTTGTCATCTCTCTGTCTGGAAATGTCACATTTTTTTCCAAGAAAATAAAGGGCATTTCTTACTCTTTTTCCAACTTATATGTTGTTTATAATTTTTCAAAAAAACAACACACTAAAATTATTCATCGAAATCTAAAATTTTTTTCAGTGTTCGAAAAAACAGCACTGGTCAGTTTCCTCCTCAGCTTTCACATAGAAGCCCGCAAAAAACACTAAACATGAAAATATAACTTGAAAAATGTTTTTCAGGTGGATTGTTATGAAGTCTCATAATCAATAGTGAAAACCCTCCATGGAAATCAAAGTACTTATCAGGTAAGAGTTCTACCCTAAGAGACATACCTCAAAAACCACTAAAAAGAATGACTTGAACTTCTTGCGTGTTTATTTGGTATCAAAACATTCTGACTTATTAAGCCTGGGCCAATTTCCAGTTGTTACCTCCTGGTACGTAATTTAAACGGAAAACAGCAGAATATGATCTTACAGTCTCTTTTCTCCACTGCTGGGGAGAAAAGCCTTTCCTAAATTGCGCTTTGCCTGTTGCATCCTGTACTGTCTGCGGAGCTTCAGCGGGTCACTGAAGGCCTCCCCCTCGAAAACTCTCCCAAACTGACTGTCAAAGTAGCCAACTTGAAGTCCGCACTTCTTCTTTGGTATCCCAGCCAGCATTTGTTTATTCCTTTGGGCAGACTCGTTGAAAGGTCCTTTAAAAACAAAGCTGATTAATTAATGCGACCACCAACAAAGAATAAAGCCATGTCATATTGCTGCATTTGTCCGACCGTGGATGGTTACATTACTTTAAGTGTCTTTAATATACAGCTGAACTTACTGTAACTAACAGGGACGTATTTGTCCCCTATGCTTATGTAGCTCATCTCTTCAAAGAGGCCAACTCTCTCCATGTCAGACTTCCCCTCCTGAGTCATGTTTGGAAATAGACCAGCTGATAATATTCTGAGGGAACAACAACAGCAGCTACACACACGACGTAAACTTAATCTTTGACAGTTTAATTTCTTGTAACCAATTTATAAACCTTTCCAGGTACTTAAAAAAGACCAACAATTTATGCAAATCGTATTTTTTTTAAATATTAAGGAAATATACTATTGAAATATTTGAATACACTGATGGGTTTTTTTTTCTCTAGTCTACATCAATGTCGAACAAATTTTTAAAATATATATTTCATTTAGCGATGTACCTCAGAGAGTTCGCCATATTGTTAAGTACTCTAAATAGAAATTACATTACGGATTATACTTACCAAATGTTGTATTAATTTCTTAGGTGCTGGAACATGCACACGCATGTAAGTTCCTTTAAAGTATGTGTACAGCTTGTTACCTTGGAGTCCGCAGGGATCCTTACTGTATTATTGGCGAAAGTGGTAGGACATAGCATTTAGGTGCGCTTTTATTACGAATATTTATCTGCATTTTTAGTGACATTTCTGAAAACGGTAATAATTTTTTTTGATAAGGTATATTATTAGTATGAATGGTTGTGGTCTAGTCTCAGAGATGGTAACTTTATAACTAGAGTAACTAGCGCCACGGCTGCATGCCGGAGAATGTAGTCTTTCGGGTGGCGGCTTTGTAGGAATTCCGCTCCTCGACACCCAGTAACCAAGCGACCAGGGCCCGGTTCCGCGAAACCTTCTTAACGCCGCTTTGTTCGTAAGTCCTGTGTTATAAGGTAGGACTTACGAACAACGTAGCGTTAAGAAGGTTTTGAGAAACCGGACCCAGGTAAATTGGAAATAGAGATAACCTAGCATTAAATAATAATTCATCTTATGTTAATAAATTGATAACCTTAACACAGTTAGCTGTACACCTTCTGTTGTAACCACAGCGCATCAGATCTAGAGACATTTAAAGCATTATTTAAAAATGACGTTTCATGGAATTCAGTACTTATTCATCAGCTTAATGCTGATTACTCTGTTTCCATCAGTGCTCTATGAAAAATTACACCCATTAGCTTGTAAAACAATAATTTAACTGACAATAACTTAATTGTTTTGTGTATGAGTTCATCAGTCTGTCGCAGACTAATATGGAGGAATTCTGGTCTCTCTCACCACACCATCTCCATGGGGATGATCTCTGGATTTCAACTTCCTTTGATTCTTTTCTTTTTTGCTGTTCAGATATACATGGACAAACGTATTGGGACACCTGGCCATTGCAAATACAGGAACATTTATAACATCCAATTCTAAATCCATAGGCATCAGTATGGAGTTGGTCCCCCCTTTGCAGCTGTAACAGCTGCCGCTCTCCTGGGAAGGCTTTCCATAAGATTTTGGAGTGTGTCCAAAGGTCAGGGGTCTGTACAGGTCAGTCAAGTTCTTCCACACCAAACTCATAAAACCATGTCTTTATGGACCTTGCTTGCAGTCATGCTGTGAGTTTGGTGTGGAAGAACTTGACTGGCCCACACAGAGCCCCGACCTCAGCCCCATCAAACACCTTTGGGATGAACTATAATGGAGACTGTGAGCCAGGCCTTCACATCCAATATCAGTGCCTGACCTCATAAATGCTCTTCTGTATGATTGGGCAAAAATTCCCACAGACACTCTAAAAAATTATGGAAAGTCTTCCCAGAAGAGTGGCAGCTGTTATAGCTGAAAACAGGGGACCAACTTTATATTGATGTCTAAGTCCTGAATCACAAAGCAGGATTTTTTACGTGGCTGGATAACTTGTCGGATTTAAGGTTGTCTGGGCTAAATGTAAGTAAATGAAGATAAAGTCTGTTTAAACTGGGATACCTTAAATCCGGCAAGTTAGCCTGCTAAGCAAAAAACCCTGCTTCCTGATACAGGCCCTGGATCCGTTGGTTGCAAAACAAGCCCAAAACATCACCCATCAACCTCTTGACTGTTGGTATCATTCTCTAGATCTCTAGCCTAGCTGTTCCTTTTCAGCTTCAATCGGAGTTTGAGCATAAGTAGTTCATGATCTGTTTCACAAGCTTCTCTAGGTCACGTCTTGCTATTTAAATTAAGCTCTTCAATCACTTGGCACTGAGATTGTGGTCTGTCGGATTTCTGTGAGCCCCATTTGGTGATGGCAATATGTAAAGACAATGCTTTGTATGGGCAATGAAGAGGGGGTTGGATGAGGAGAAGATGATGAAATACACAATAAAATTGGCAGACCAGGGGGGGGTTTCCTCAGCAATAAAGTTAGCCAGCCATGGGGGGGGGGGGNTAAGTCTGCCAGTTGGTGACTGATCTAGATCCAGCCTTTAAGATTCAAAGATTTAGAAACACTAGGTTTATTTACACATTTCACATACGCTTTTCAATACAGCAAGTAAAATAAAAAATATTTTCAACAGACATTTGTCAAAATACTTGAATACACCTTTCCCCTTTTTGCGGAGTGTGCTTTTACACATCACTGTTCCTGTTTGGTGACCAAAATTCTTAGTTTTGACTGGTAAATAAGTATTTATTTTTCCATATATGCCTATGCACGTTTTTTTACATTTCTAACAGCTCAGGAGCTATTTTGGATAATTTAATAATTCAGCCATTGTTACACTCGAGAGTCCAAATAATGCTGCCTTTTCAGTTTATGCTGATCTTCACACAGCAGTATTTGGATAAGGATGTTAATTCTCCCATAAATAAGAGTGAACAAGAATTATATGGTTTTGCTATTTATTGCTTATAAATGTATAACTTAAATAAAAAAATCCTATATCAACAATAAAATAGGTCACAATTTAACATTAAGTATTGCACAGTAAAGCTTTCTTTTAATGGTCACAATAAACAAGGTGAGACCCCATTGAGGGGTTTGTTTACACTTCATTACAGTACAACACTCATCATTTCACAACTATTCACAATAGATAAAGTATATCCAGCAAAAGCAAAACCGGTTCTGGCTGACAGCACTGGATAGTGGCAGTTAAGCCAGTTCTTCAATATCTTACCAGTGGATTGGGGGCGTGGGGCGGAGGGGGGGGGTGGAGAAACAACTGTAAACGGAAAAACTCTGGTGCACCAAAACGCCACCCCTTTGTTTCAGGGTACTGAATAAGCAAGTTCAGACGACGCCCCGAAGGATAATGGAAGCTCATCACTTTTTCCTGTTCGCAAAGAGCCCAAGTCGCTGTATCGGTCTTGCTGAGTGTCTCATTCAGATTGTGCAAACGGTCAGATCTGGCTCAACTCTTCCTTCAGCTCAGGACACAGTTCTTTCACGATGATTTCCAACAGGACCTAAAACAGTAAATTTCCACAGTTAATATGTTCATATCACTATTCCGCACTGACAAAACTTTCATCGATATCCTGTATTTAGGTGTAAATATATAAAAAGACAAGATGTGACCACCAGGTGGCAGAGTTACACAAGAATACAACCAATCAAACGGTAAATATTTACCTTATAATTATGACATAATTTGTACAACAAACACTAAATTAATACTTACCTTCATTTAAAAAACTCCAAATTCATTAACCAAGGTAGTTAAATGCATTTAACCCATTAGCAAACACTTCATTTGGTGTAACAAAATCTGAAAAATGCTATCCATTCAAGCAACAGCTCAGAATGGTTATTAATTAAAGGTAAATGTATGAGAACAAATCCTAGCATATACTGTGTAACCAGGAGCAGAATTAAGAAAAACCACTCTGCAAAACATTCTTAGTCCAGATTCACAAATACATGTATGCTCACAGGAATATGAAGTACACTTTGCAGGTATGATGGGAAAAGCAATTTTCATACAAGTACGGAATCTGTAATTATCTGAATTTAAAAGGTAGAAAATGGAACTCACATAGAGAAGATGCTTGTTGGCTTTGGTCTCCTGAAGAGCATTGAAGATTTTGATGATCCCATACCTGGCATTCTGTTGTCCAACCAGGCTTTGAAGTGCATCTTGTAATGAGAGTTTGTTACAATGTTAATAATATTCCCACCCCTGACTGAATTAAGTCATGGAAAATGCAAGTAGACGACATAAGGAAGGTCAAGATGTACCTGGGATGTTTTCCAGCAGTTTCTGCTGGGCTCTCTCTTTGGTTGCCCTTCGCTCTGAGTCTGACCGGGCTTTGCTATGGGGAGCCAGCTTCCCATTGGGCCAGAAGGCATCCCGGAAAATAGTGATGTAATACACAAGCATCTGCTCACTGAATATCCAACTGACAGTGTCTCGAATCTGCCTGTGAAAAATAACAGGGCTTTGAGGTTTAAGAAACCAACATATGACCATACAGACGCTCCCCGGGTTACACCAGGTTTAAGTTCTGATAAACCTATCATAAGGTAAAAATATCGCAAGGCTAAAATGCATTTTAATACACCGAACCTAACAAACATCATAGCCTAGCCTACCATAAACATGCTTACAACATTTACATTAACCTACAGTCAGGCAAAATCATTATTATGAAATAGGCTTTGTGTTAAAGTGTTGAATATCTCATGTAATTTATTGAATAATGTACTGAAAATGAAAAACAGAATGGACTTTAACCAATAAATATAGTTCTATGTCAATTTATTCTGTCCAAGTGGCCCATTATTAAGGGTAAAACAGCAATCATCCTATTGTATCTGTTTTCTACATTAAATCACTGCTGCTGCTGCTGGTCTACCTGGTAACTGATTGACAAAACAGTATAATTCCTCAACTTTTGTTTACTCATCCCCCTACACAAACAGTGTAACATAATAAAGGTGACACTTTCCAAGTCCATAATTAAACTGCCATTGATTATTCTGGCAGGTCCTGAAAGGGATTTTACCATAGTGCTGAGATTAAGACCCCTATTCAATTGATAAATATCACCGGATTTTTAATGGCCAGAGTGAGTCACGGTTTTTAAAGGGCATTAAATGACTCAAATGGTAACATGCCATTTAATTTGTTCTTCGCAAAACAACTAACAAAAGACGACGGATTTTCCTGCCGAAAACAACCTTCCTAAAATGTGATACACTGGTCAAATCTCAGTTTCCATTTCTGTCAGTAATCTGGGCAAAATGCTAGCCGTCATCTTCTCATCAAATGACTGTAATACGAAATGACAGCTACTCTCCGTTACCAAACCGAAGTGTATCCAGCACAGGGGGGCAGCAGGGAGAGAGCATGTGACAGTGTGACAACTGGCTGCACAGCACTGCTCAAACCGTGACATTGCCGATCACGTCATTACTTGTTTGCTGGTGATAAAGGATGTTCACCCTTTCCATCGAGGTTATTGCTGACATCCAGTTACTCCTTTATTTTTTGTGTGCTAACATTTAGTATGGTGCAGAAAAAATAAAAATGGCAGCCACGATGTTCAGTAGGTTGTTGTGAGGAGCCTCAGTTTAAATAAGGTCTCAGAAAGCACTTGCCTTTAGTTAGAGAACACTAGTAGAATAAGTTACTCATTAACATTACCTATATCTCATCTTCTTCTTGTACACATTATAGACAACGTTTTCATCTAAACAATGCTTACTTGTTTATCGTCCGTCCAAAGGTCACTTGGACTAGTGCAATTAGTGTCTTCCGGACCCATTTAAACACTGCAATATAAAGAGACACAGAGTTAAACTTTAGCTACTGCACTGCTAAAAGTCTACAGATATTCTACAATAGAAAATAATTAAGTTGATAAAAATGGTAAAGAATATTCTTGTTACCCTTTGAGAAGGATACGAGTGTGAGATGACATCAAACAGACCCATTTTATACAGAAACTTGGGAACAAATGAAAGAAACATTGCTGTACTTTGTTCCCTTTCCAGTGATACACACATACACAGACTTGGGAGAGAGAAATACAAAATCCACAGAAAAATGACAGAGCTAATTTGGCTGGGAAAAAGGGAAATGAGATCAAACTCCTATGGTGGACCAAGGACACGAGTAATCAAACAATGCGACTGCAGGAATCAGAACTGAATACTACTGCCTGGGTCACGCTGAGGTCAAACAAACAGAATACAAAGTTATATCAACACAGAATTAGGGACAAGCGAAGTTGGATAACCTCAACAACCCGACTTTCCCTCCTGAGATGGCTGGCATCCCCTCATGTTAAATAAACATACATTAGAGTAAATCAGTGGCAATTCAATGGTTCAAATATATACATGGCTATAATATACATTGAAGTGCAAAAGTCTTAGGCAGTCAAAAGCAATGTTTAAAGCTATTTATCTGTGTAGTAAGTGCACATTGTATCAGAACAAAAATTTAATATTAGAACATTTGCAAAATTAAGAGTAATGCAATAAAGACTAGTACAATTTCTTCTGTTTTACAAAAAGTTACTGATATATAGATCTATGTCATGGTTAGATGAACACTGCTTCGGTCCCCAAACCTCTCCTCAGGGGCACCCCAACCATTCCAAGTATCTATTAAATTTCAACATCACCTCACTTAAGTAATTACTTTTAAAAAGTCAACGAGACATTGACTAGCTCTACAACAAGTGTTTGAGTCAAAAGCTGCATGGGTGTATTGCATGGTTACGGGAAATACCGGGGTGATTTTAGCAGAGGTTTTGATATGGTTAAGCGTTGACAGGCATCATATCATAGGTGGTTTAACACAAACATAAAGATGATTTGAACATCATTATTTCCAAAGCAGCAACAGGCACTAGCCACAAGGGGCGCTGTACGCTACTATCTGAGTGGGTTAGGCATCTTTGGTTTTCCTGGGGAAGGAACTGAGATGGATGGTGAAGTTGGCACCAGCAAATTAGGATTAGCATGATGGCCTGATAAAAATTAAATCTTATTTCCAACTTTCTGCATCTTCTTCAGTTTCTCAGGATGAGTATTAAAAGGTGCACGGGGAAATCCCAGCTTACAACCTCATACCAGCTGGAGTATAGTCCAAAACCTTAAAATTATCTTCTCATCTAACATTATCTTCTCAGATCTATGGAAGGAGGAAGTTGTTTTTGGACCAAAACCAAGCTTCAGTTACACTAGCAGAAAATTAACAAATACGATACCAGCAATTTCAGTCCACTATTTTCTGTACAACTGGATTAACAACCACATGACCTGCTGTGTTTTTTTTTTTGCTGAATTTTTCTTCCACTGTGTTTTACAGACTAATAAAAAAGTGTGGCAAGTAAATGAATTTTCAATTAAAAAAAAAAATATATATATTATAATTAGGGCTGTCAAAATTAACGGGTTAACGCAGATTAATCCTTCATCATGATTAATCTGATAAAAATTTTTAACGCAATTAACCCATCTGCAGCGCAGAATGATTCAAAATCACTGAAATGTCTCTGTCAACCCATTTGGGGCAGTTTTGGTGCGTTCCATTTCCCCTCGGAACTTGTATTCCGAGTCGGATTGCGGATTTTTGAAGCCGGAAGTGACTACATATGCTCCCGTTTCTCGTACATCCGAGAAATATCTCGGAGCAGCACAGAGGATCCCGACTCCCGAGTTCAGAATTCAAGATGGCAGCGCCCTTTATCAACAGAAGGGAAAGTTGTAGTCTTATACTGTTTAAGCACTACTTCTCATTTGTGGCTCATTAAATCGGTCGCACACGCTATACCGTCCAACTTATCTGTGGATGTGTTGCTATGGAGTTTTATATGTAAAGCACCACACGTAATGTGTTATCAACTGATATTGCTAACAATGGCAATTAACCGGGCTAGAATTGGACTTCATGATTAGTTGGATTATTTGTCTGATTTACGGTAGTTTGTGCTAATTGTAAGCGAACGAAGATAAAGAGCATTTAAACTGAGGTACCTTAAATCCGACAAGTTGTCCGGCTAAGCAAAAAATCTTGCTTTTTGATATGGGTCCATGGTATTGAACTTCTGTGGCAGATGGAATGCATCCGACTCATGTTCAAGATGTTCAATAAACATGTTAAGTGCATATATATTCCCTTTTTTCTTGAGTCTGTTTGCTCATGCAAAATTAAATGTGAGATTCATATACATTAAAAATGAATGATATTTAATCATGATTAATCAAAATTAATCCACAGGAACCCTGTGATTAATCTGATTAAAAGTTTTAATCATTTGACAGCACTAATTATAATATAATTTATAATATTAAGATCCATCCATCCATCCATTGTCCAACCCGCTTATCCTACTGGGTCACGGGGTAATATTAAGATACAGATGCCAAAAGTTCAACACTGTACTGCCTGAGACAGTTGCAGATATACAGGCTAGTGACCTTGTCCAGGATAAGCAACTGAGAGATGGGTGGTTGGATGAATTGCTCTTTGACTTTCTGTAATCAGAACAATGATATTACTAAATGTTTAGTAATGGGAGCTGTTATAGTTTTTAACAGATGTGACATCTACTGCAAATGGCTAATGATTAATTCAAGCAAAGACATCTCCAGTGAGGTTCCAAGGTCAGTACTGTCAAACTTCTCCTCACCAGTTATCACTATTATGTATCATTTTAAAATGTGTTTGCTGGTGCAGATCACATATTTCTCCATAAAAAAAAGCTTTTTCTACATCATTTACCTTTTGCAGGCACCACAGATTATTGGGAAAACTGAGAGGTACAAACGAGAATGGGCTTTTAAAATTCCACAGGATAGGAATGCTGTTCTGACAAATATCAGACTCACAGTATAAAACTGAACACATGTTAAATGGATGGACACAGATGTCAGAAATATTTTCAGTGCCAAATCATTTGACTCTCCATTAAGCACAAAACACAAATGGGAAAATTCCTTCTCATCATATTCACAGGGCAATGTTACCTTCAGAAAAGAAAGCTCTGGTTTTTGTCAAGCTTTCCCTCAAACCTGGTACAACATTGAATAATACAGACAAAAGTGATGAACTCAATAGCATTTTAACTACCTGATCAGTTATAATCTGCCTGATATTAGGTGTGGCTCATCAGACACCAGGTACGTTAGAAAACCTGCAGGATCCCAGCACTCCAGGATCAGGGTTGCCTACCTACCCCCAGCCTAAGATCTCTAGAAGCATTTGTTAGATTTGATGCCCTTTATTTTTCTTAGAATATTTTCTGGAAAAGCTTTCCCTCAGAGGCCCCTTAGCTCATGGGAGTGGACTTACTGCCGCGGAGTTCAAAGATCTCGCCAACGAGCATAAAGAAGGGCTCCGCCAAAGCGTCCTTTTTCCCGTCAAGCTCATCCCCGTAGTCCGACAGGTCGCTGTCGTCGTCTGTCTCCTCCTGTGTGGAACGCAGAGCAAGCCATAAATTGTCCAACCCGCTGCACCATGACATGCCCAACTTTATTTACACAGACTTCAAAGCACTATTACCATGTTCTCACCCTGAAATAATGGGGATTGTAGAGGCTAACACTGAGGAACTAAGGGTGCTTTTCCACCGCACCAAGCACAGTACTTTTGGTACGGTACTTTCGGTACTTTTGCTTTTCCAGTGACTTCCGGTCGAGTACCAGTACCAAAAGTTCCAGTACCAAAAGTGCCAAACCAGCTGGGGTACTTGTATGGTACTTCGATACTTTGGGGTGGGACTTATAGATTTCTCTCGACTGGTTATGCGAACAGCCTGTTGCTGAAACAACACAAACACCACCTTGAAAACAGAAAATAATGATCAACGAAAAAAATGTGATTTGGTCGTAAGAACATATACAATAAAAAGATCCAGATGGCATGACAAGAATTAAAAGGTATTTTGTTGAATATACTAATACAGCACGCATATAATGTGCTGTCTTACCTATGTGATTTTGTTATAAATATAGCAATGTGCTTTTTTTGTAATAAATATTAGGGTATTTAAATAAACAAAAAAGGAGTTCATAAATCTCTCACAATCCCGTCTTCGAGTGATTTAAACGTCAAGGATGAAAATGATTATGACCGTCTCGGAGAACGTATGCAGCGCTCATGCAAAAGCAGCGGCAGCAAACTTTAAATTGATTTTTAAACATATTAGAATCTATAAAAATGAATAATAACTAAAATTGCAAAGCTTGCCAAGTTTTTTTCCTATGACCAAATAACAGAGTAAGAATATTTTAGTGAAAATTTAACCCCCACGCTATAATGTCCGTACAGAATTGAAAGTAAGAAAAAGCCTTATTTTAATATAGCTGATTAGCGATGTAAGGATTGGATGTGCATAACATGCAATGTCCTACTACAGCCATTTCTCAAATTCAGTACAAAATACCCTGCCTTGGTTGTGATGTCATTCGGCGCCGGTACCAGATTTTACGGCAGCGGAAACCCAACACCTTGGAGCACCATACTTTCCATACTTTTTCAAAGTACCAAAAGTTCGGTACATGGTGCGGTTATTTTGACGGTGTGGAGACCATTTTTCAGGTCCTCACAAAGATCTGTGAATGCAATCAATAAACTAAAAACGCCCAAAGTCTTGTATTTTGTTTGGTTACTTATGATATCATTACAAACCTGTGTGTTTGTGTGGGTGCGTGCATGTGTGAGCACGCCCTGTGATCTCCTAGTACTCACCTCCTGATGGGAGAAGAAGTCTCCAGGCAGCTTCTCCAGGAAGGAGGCCAAAGAGAAGGAGGGCTTCTTCTGGATGTCAATGACCTTGAGGTGCTCTGGGGAGGGGCTAAGGAAGGCATAGAGGGCCTCGCTCTGGCACATGCGCTCGTCGCTCAGCATTTTCTGCTCAGGAGGAAAGCAGGACAGACAGTGGGTGGGTGGGTGGTCCCCGTCACAGGTCAACACGAGTCACACAGCTGCAGCACCTCGAATTACCCCAAGGAATAACATCAAAGCAAACATGTGGCTTTCCAAAATGATGTTTTCTACCTTAGTAAAGATGTGAATTTGTTAGGAAAAAATGAACTGCTGGGCATTCCCTTCACAGGAAAAAGTCAGGGCAGTGATTGCCTGTACTATGAAATTCGCAGACATTTGCAGGCTGGCAATAGTTCTTGACTGATTGGACATAAAGTGAGAGATACTGACTATGACAAACTGACTATGAGGACAGTGTTCAAACATCATATTGTATCACAGGCAGTCCCCAGGTGAGGACCTAAGTTTGTCTTTAACTTGAATTTGTAGGTAAATTGGAAAAATACACACTACCTGTAAGAAAGGGTTAAGCTGGCTCTTGGACTTGTCCAGGAACTTCTGGTCCACAGATTTAAATGGCAGTTTGCTTAGAGAGGGCAGCTGGATTTTCTTCAGTGATGGGAAACACTGCACATAGAGATTGGCGGCGGACAGCAAAAACAATCAGGCCGGGATCGCCGGTGCTGTCGCGGAGACCACAATACACCAACAGTGATAAATTATGGCTCTTTCCATCCAGACAATGTCACGCTATCAGCATTTCAACGCCGTCCTCGGCGGTTTTGGAATGACCCACGTGTGCCGTGACCTGATGCTCTGCACATCAGGAAGCCCGCAGTGGCCACGGCGGCCGTACCTCCAGCAGCTTCCTGTGCAGCACCTGGAATTCGCTCAGCTTCCTGGTCACCGTCCAGCGGCTGTTGACCGAGTCGGCGCTGCTGCCGTCCTGCAGGCTCACTGACACTGTGTAGCACGGCATCTGCTCCCCGTTCTCCTCCACGGCCTATTGGGCAGAAGGGGCCTCATGACACGTTCCTCACCCCCAGGCTTCCCGTCTCCATTACCACCTACATGGTATAACGGGTCGGCAGCCCTCTAGCACGTATCTTGCCTGGTCTATGTGCTATTTCCTTTCCAAGCCGACTGCCTGCTATCGTATGAAGAGATGGGGTGGGGGCAGAGTCAGGGGACTAATGCTTTGACAGTAAATGTGTAAGGTTAGTACTAGTACAATACTCTTACAATGATTAATTATTAATGGATTAGTGGAAACAACCACAAACAAAATATAGGAGACCACAATAATGAAACCAACACTAAACTAAGACCTCTCTTTAACATTCAGCACATGCATGTATCTAGAAAGAATTTTAAAATGTACATCTACAAGTCATTACATCTGATGGCCCCCCTGGCCTCGTTACATTCAGGATTCACTAAAGTCTTCAGTACACTAGGCAGGGGGGGCATCAATCAGCTTCCGTAACTGCTGTTCTGGGAACACTTCGTCCATGAGCAGGATTAATTACCCAGTTTGTAATTGTACAGCTCTTAGTCTGTCACTGATAGAGAAATGCAGTTAAAGCTCGACTTTCTCCTGAATGTATTACAGAAGTTCCCACACAGTGGAACTCTTGAGTAATCAATCACTGTGTTCTATTTATGCTTTGGCCCCAAGCGACACACTGGGTATTTAACATCGTCTAATATTTGCATGGTAAAACTGAGCCAACACAAGCAAAAAAGAAAGCATCACAAATTGGGCTGATAACTGGCAATTAAAAGTTTAACGGCAACGTATGTCAACCACTGCATGTCTAATCTCTACTGGGCAACTGAAAGAGCAACATCGGTAAAGTTTGGCCTGCCCTTGTTTTCATCTTATGTCCTTTTGTTGCCTGACCAAGACACAAATAGTGATGCTGACACAGCTAGCAGGACAAAATCAGTTTCACAGAATCAGCACGTTTCAGCTGCGCCGGAATGAAGCCCACAGGACAAGACTCTCAGTATCTGTCTAAGCAAAGCAACCATAGGGAAGGAACATGGGCTGCAATTTTAGGGAAGAAATGGCAGGTGCAAAGGTGGTACAGGGCAGAGACATAACATTTTGTTTACTTATTTAGCAGACATTCTTGTCCAAAGCAACATACAAGTATAACACAAGCACACAGCAGTCAAGGAACCAAAAAGTACATCTAGGCTGAGCTTCTAATGAATGACTAAAAACTATATGTCTGTGACCCAGAGTATCATCATATTAAACAAAATGCTATGTTGGCAAAATTAACATGCATCCAAATGCTTTGAGGAAATCATAACTGCTACCAGACTTTCACACTCCACCACTCTTGAAATCACAAAGAGAGCCACAGATCACACCTCACTTAGCCTTGTGGTTGTGAGTAGAGCCACACACTGACCTCTGCCCCGATGATGAGGGCCCTCCATGCGCCTAAGTTCTCGCACCACCAGTCTGTGCGGGAGATGTGTAGCTTCAGGTCACTGTGCTCTTTCTCCATGGCGCCGATCTCCTCCTTCAGCTTGGCCACAATCTACAGAAGGATAACAGAAGATCTCCTACTCTGAGCCGCTGGGGTCAACAGGACCCCAGAGCCCAGCAGTGTTTACTGCCGGCACGTACCAAGTTATATTAAAACTGGATTTTTGGCAGCTAACACTAATCCTGTCACTGAGCACTGATCTCCCCCAGACAAGATCATACATAAGCAGTCCCTGAAGACCAGATAATGGACACTCAAACAGCAGTCTTTTGGAGACGAGGTTTACCTTTTTGTCAGGCTTGGGCGCGTTCTGGATGGACCCTAGGGCCTGCCTCTTATACTCCAGCTTCTCGCAGAGCTGCCGCAGTTTGCTGGCCGCGTAACTGGCCTGCTCGTTGATGCCCTTGCTTCCCTCGTCCAGCGCCTCCTCGCCGGTCTCGATGGCCTGACACTGAAGGACAGTGACAGAACATAGCTTGGCTGCCATTCGCCTCACCGGCAAACAACAGGCCCTTGTCCTCATGCAAGCTCAAGTTGATACAAAATTTTAAGGTTGATAATTAAACTGTTATATGTAGTACAGGAAATAAGTAACACAGTGCACTTTTGACCCGTTTGTATCGTATTAATCGCAGTGCATCTTGACCATAGCATACATTTCTTAGTATAATGGAACAGCTGAAAAGTACATTCGTACAATAATGAATTTACTTGTTTAACATGTACAATGGTGAGTCAAATTCAAAGCACAGCTTCACTTTTTCCTATTCATTTGCCTAATCATTGATTTTATGCCAAATTAAAACACAAACAAGGCCTTGTCTGTCCCTCAGCTTATATGTCACGCCCTTGTCTTCCCATCTGCAGGCTCACCATCTCGTCCTTGTCCTCACCGCTGGAGTGCGAGTTGGAGTACTGCTCCTCGCGCTTCACCAGCCGCTCGTACAGGTCGCTCACCAGGAAGGACGGGTAGTAGCGCTCCTTCATGGTCTCATAGACCCCGGCCTGGATCTTGTGGAACACGTCCGTACCCTTGTTGCCCACTATTGTCTGCTGGATCTCCTTGTACAGGGCCTTCTCCACAGGGATGTCCCTGCTCTCCACAAAGTAGTTCTGGTAGATCTCCCCCACCAGCTGAGGCACTTCAGTCTACAGGGAAAGCATCACCGTGTCGAGCAGCCTCCATGAAGAGCTTCACGCCATGATATTTTACATTTGCTTATTTAGCAGGTGCTTTTGTCTAAAGTATCACACGAATGAAGATCAGAGTGTAGGATTGGCCAGTGTCCCTAGAGAAGCTGGGATTAGGCACTTTGCTCAAGGACACTGTGGAAATATGGCTATTTTACTGGCTATGGGATTTAAACCTACAACCATCCAAAATAACTCCTATAATACAAATTGCCTAAAATCTGAATTACCGATTCAATACACAGCTCCATATCCATATCTCCAGCAGCATGATTGCTGCAATAATTGGGAGTTATCTTTGTTTGACTACGGGCATGGAGTCCCATCCAAAGAGAAACTCATAACCTTGCCTCATCATGTTGCCAAATAACACCACCATAAACTCTATACCTTGCCTCATTAACCTGAAACCTCCTTAAGGACCGCATTGAAAGCCTTTTGCGATACACCTATAGTTCTGCACAGAGGTGGGCATTTCAGGTCTAGAAAATAAAGATCCAGACTAAGATTTTGTTTCAACCAACCAGTTGAATACTGAGAGTCACAGTCACAGAGTATTCAGCAAGTTGGTTGAAACAAAATCTTGGTCTGGATTTTTACTTTCTGGACCTGAAATGTCCACCTCTGCTCTGGTATCACAACAACACAGCTACCTGCCTCAGGAGTATATAGCTTCTATATAGGATATAGCAGCAAGCCCCCCCCCCCAAAGCGACACAGGCCTACATTACCCACGTCACCCAAGGCCTACATTACCCACGTCACCCAAGGCCTACATTACCCACGTCACCCAAGGCCACCCAACACCCCTGGCACACTAGGCCCTTAACTTATAAGGTTTAAAATGTCATTACATTTTAGAAGTATATAGTCACAATCCAGGTTAGAGAGCCACCCAACCTTGTTGGCGCCCTTTAGCATCTCCACTTGCTCCCAGAAGCAAATGAGGGCTCTCTTGTCCACCCTCTCCATGTACATACGGAAGTGCTCCCGGAACATGGAGTTGGACATGATCTCTTCAAACTGGTAGATCTGAAAAGCCCACAAAAAAAACCAGACAATAAACTGCAGGTAACATCCATCTATCCATCTACTATCCATTGATCCATCCAGTAGGTTGCAGGGGTGACCTGGAGCCTTTCCCAGGCACCGTAAGGCCCAAGGCAGGGTATACCCCGGATGGGATGAGGTTCTACCATTGTATTATAAAAACACAACAATAAAAGACAATTTGCCATTGGCCTCCACACTATGCTATAACTGTTCTACCTTACAGGTCACCATTGTGTACATGACCCCCTCCCATCCACCATGAGATGTTGTGTTTGCTTACTCTCTGGCTCTGAGGTCCATCGCCTTCTTCAGCTGCCCCATCTTCCTGAGCCTCATAGTTGGGGCCGCCAAGCAGACGGATCCTTTTCTCGCACTGCTTCTTGGCCACTGTGAGCTGGTTGATGTAGCGTTTCATGTTGCGCGCTCTTAGCAAGTCTGCCTTCATGGCTGCCGTCTCCTTCCCCTTGCTGTCTGCAGGGGTGCAGAAAGGCAGCCATCTTGGTATTGTATTCTTGATAATATTCTTCTAAAACTGACAGGCTAGACAGATCAGATTGCAAAACAAAATAAACTCACATCTAAGTAATCTAAGTACAGTACATGCAATTAAAACAAATAATTGTTTAGAGGAAATTCATCAGAAGATAAAAATATCTGTAATCTTGAATGTATATTTCAAAGAGAGTACTGTATATATAAAAAGTACATAACATAGTTTTGTAAATATATGTTGACATGGGTCAGTTTAACTATAGGACTTGCATCTTAATTACTAAAATCGAACAGAAAGCACTATGACTGAAAAGACTACTTGATAAATAGGTAATGGCAGAAAGGCTGAATTTAATTCCATGCATTTAAATATCAGGCCAAGAATGGCATTTCAGAATTTGAACAATGGCATTTACACTCACACAAGCCTTTTTTAGCCATGTCCCCCCATGGCCCACAGCGTGACTCTCCTCTCTATTTGACTCATCCCCAGTTTTCATTAAAATGAACGAAATAAGAGCAGACATTATTACCCTTCTGCTTCTTCAGCTGTGGAAGGTTGCTGATGGTTGTTGCCTGTATGATTTCAACAACAATCTGGTACCTGTGTAGACACATAGACGGTGGATCTCCATGTGGGTAATACACCTTCAGAGTTGGGTAATTCAGGTCCAAAGAGTCAAAGTCCAGACCAAGATTTTATTTCAACCAACCAGTTGAATACTTTGTGACTGTGACTCTTTATGCTCAACTGGTTGGTTGAAACAAAATCCCGGTCTGGACTTTTACTCTCTGGACCCAACTCTGTACGCCTTGCACTAACACGCTAAACGCTGCACAGAAACATACATGCGCTCAGAACACAAAGCTAGCTGACTGTACAACTTATATGCCCATAATTATGCTAAAACCATTCAGCTATGGTAAAACCCATGTGCAGTAAACAGAATGCATCACTCATGACATTTATTGAACTATTAGTACAGATATATTCTCATGATAGGTTTCATTATAAGCTTTAGCTACCAACTGGGAACACTTTTTATTATCTAGAGCATAAGGATTTTTTTATATCTCCATTAGCAGTCCTGTTTCCATAGAAACAACTAAAAGTCTATCAGTTTTTTTTTTTTTAAGTTTGAAAAGAAAGTGTAATTAAGTCTAATTTTGCTTAATTTCACGGCTGAAGAAAATCGCTCAACTAATCTCACTTTGGAAAATTTGTTTAATTTAATTTAATTTAATCCGTCTGTACTCCAGCTATGTCCTGCAATGTTAATATCGTTGACGAAAAAATTTCGTCATAGTTTTAGTTAACGACCTTTTTTCTCTGACGAAAACGAGACGATAACGAGACTAAATAAAAAAATATGCTCAAAGACTAGAACTATGATCCTATGATTTTTAGTCGACTAAAACTAGACTAAAACAAAAACAATTTAGATGACTAAATAATGACTAAAACTAAATGACATTTTCGTCAAAAGACTATGACTAAAACTAAATCAAAATTTGCTGTCAAAATTAACACTGATGTCCTGCTCATAGGATACATAGCCAAGGTCACAACACATCCTTCGGTAAAGTGTACTGCCAGCCCATGTAAACAAATGTAAGACTTTCGGCTAGTGGTAGGATTAATTACAGTGGGGACTGGGACAGATAAGTTAACAGACACTCGTAAGTCACCTGTCACTGAAAGACTACACTGGATGGACACATGTTTACATATGAGCATCAGTACATGTGGTGACAGTGAGGATCTACGCAAACAGGACAGAGGGGCCCTCCTAGATCAAAGAGCAGCATCCATTCCTGATCTCCAGCTGATATGATCAGTTTTATCTCTTACAAAGAAGTGAGGGGCCACAGATGTGCTTCAGGGAATCAGTGCCAGACTGCGATAAAGCTGGATAAGACACACACACACACACGCTAAACTCGGAGCTGGGAGCTGTTAACAGGCAAATCTCAGTACTACCTGTCAGCAGGGCCTGACTTTATTATTAAGGATGAAGACTGCTGAAACAATTCCAAAGCTCTGTGGTAAAATGTAGAGCATTTTGCCCACTTTTTCCAGCATGTCCTAGATAGTGGCTGTTTGTGCTTGTTTATCTGTGGACTGGATTCGAGTAGGTGGGTCGACACGTGTCCCTCAGTAGAGGTGGTGCCTAGAATGAGCTAAAGCGCTCACCTCAGCTGCTTGAGGAAGTCGATGTCAGAGCTGCCGCTGATGAGCTTGATGAATTCCTCGTACGAGGGTGCATACGTATAGGCCTTCTTGTGGTGCTCGCTGAGCTGCTCGCGGAGTTCCAACTGGGCCAGCAGCATGCGGTTGATGTAATCTGGGTCACTGAGCACCTCCACCAAGGGCTTGAGCACTACACGGATAAGCACGCACCCACCCAGACACACAGAGACAGACAGAGATGCACACAGGATGACACGTTAGAATTCTACAGGCATTACAAACTCAAAATTACAACACAATCAAAATGTAACTCATTGTAGCATTTATTCATTCATGCACTATACTGCCTGTCCAATGCAGGGGTCTGTAGCCTATCCTGGAAAATATAGGTGCAAGGTACGGAATAACCCAGGGTGAAGCGGCAACCCATCACAGAATGTGCACCTTCTGGTTCTAAATAATCGATGGAATGTAGAGATATATCATTATCGGTATTGGCCGATATTCATTTATAATCAAAATATCAGTATCTGTCCTGTAGAGGTGGGCGATAAATCGATTTAATCGATTAATTCGAATTTACAGTTCAGGACGATGTGTTTTTATGAAAATCGATTTTATTACTTTTTTTTACACGCGAGCGCCAAAAGCGGAACTAATGAGATGCACCGTTTTTCACGGGTAAATTAGCGCGGCGCACCCAAACACTCTAGGGGATTCAGAAAGAACACGGCAATGGTTCGGTTTTGCGCCATCGGACACAGACCAAACAAGTCCTTGTTGCAAAGTCTGTTCAAAAACTGTTGCAGCCAAAGGAAGCAGAACAACAAATTCATTCCAGCACCTAAAGCAGAGGCACACAGTGGAGTGGGAGAAGTGCAGCTCCCAGCGAAATGAAAATACCCGCAGCACCAGCACAACATCCAAGGTCAAGCAAGCAACTGTCCCTGACACGTTTTCGAACTGTGTGCCCTATGATAAGAATGGCGCACGGTGGAAGGCGATAACAAACACTGTCGTGATATATATTGTAAAAGACATGGTGCCCATACATACTGTGGAAAAGCCAGGATTCATTAACATGCTAAAAGTTTTTACAAGTTTCTAGAAGTGTTTACAGTGGCGTGGTCTGCCATCTCACTTACAAGCATCTTTTTTGGCTTGTCAGATTGCACTTTAACTCTAATGTAAAAAAAAAAAAACAAAATAAAGTTAAAACTTGTTTTGAACCATAAATTTTTCATCTATAGTTTGATTTTGAGTAGGGGAGGGGAAAATCGATTAAAATCGAAAATTGGATTTATTGTGAAAAAAATCAGAGATTTTATTTTGAGGCCATATCGCCCAGCTCTACTGTCCCGATATATAAACTTCATAAATATTAAAAGTTAGCACCACCAGAGATTAAAACATACCTACTACAATAGTGGAGATGATTGCATTGGACATTCAGCCATTATTTTAATGGAGTAAGGATTATGGTGGCTCATTCATAAATCTCAAGAAACAAGGGAGCCACCCCGGTCCCCATCAATAAAATTTCCTGGGGGGTGGGGGATCAATCGCATGGTCCGAAAGTACAGGCACAATTGTGTCCTGTATTGGGTCAAAATGGGACACGGCCTTTTATTTTACAATCCAGGAGTAACCCATAAAATACGGGAGCGTCTTGTGAAATACCGGACTGGTGGTAACTTTGCTTATAAAACTACTGGCCCGCAAGATGGTTCCATAGGACCCGTGACATATTTTAAGTCATTATTAAATCTGGCTGGTAGATCAACCTTCGACAGAATAAAAAAAACAATGTAACGCCATTCTGTTAATCAGCATAAGGAAGTCCCCCCCCGCCCATCCTGAGAGGCTCAGATGTTAGCCAGTTGTTGCTGTCGGCGATATTAGACAAATATATATTGGTTAATTGTATCAGTCAAAATTTCCACAGCGGTGCACCATTTATAGTATGATCACGGTCCATATGCGTACACAATCACTGGATATTTCACACATGAAAGGCAGAATCACAAAGCACTAAAATAATGACAAAGGTCAATGTGGTCAAAAACTGTTTGTGTAAGATACCAAGAATAACAGAGGAAGCCGTGACCCTGTATGATTAGGTAAGCATTGCCAAAAATGATTCAGGCACCACAAACCGTGATTTCATTTTCATTGCTCAGTCTTGCATGGCAGCTTGCCTTCGCTACGCTTTTTAATTTAGCTCAAATGCACTGTTACAAAGGCCTCTGTGCTTCAAAGATTGCTGGAGCATGAAGCTTTGTTTACAGCTTTCCATTAACCTTCCCCAGAACACAACAGGACAGCTTTTCAACTCAACTGTCCAAAACAAACAGAAGACGATAACATCAATGAATTTGCCCAGAACAGTCTGTGTGCTACTACTAGCCCTGTGCTCTCGTGTGACTCTGAAAGTGCAACAAGTCTTTAGGTCACACTTCTTTGCAGCTAAAGACATTTGATATACCCCAACTTGCTAGGATAATCATCAGAAAAATGTTATGGTTCCTTTCAGTGTTCTTCATTCACAGTCTATCTCTCCAGTATTATTCTAGTCAAAATCTGGTCTGGTAACATATTTCCTGATACAGGAAAGAATACAGCCACTTGTTATCTTGGCCTCAGCCACTGAGTAAATGTTTCTTTGTTTCAAGGGCAGGGATTTTTTTGGGGGGTTTTCAAGTGCTAACTACTATGGACCACTGAATAACAAAAACAAATTTCCATGAAGAAGGTCAGTTTTGTGGGTATAATGTAAGTTAATTCCCGGCATGTGCATCACAGTGTCTGAATACATGGTTCATTATCTTGCACACGATACACTTCAAATATCAGCTAGAACATATGATCCTTTTAAATGTCCGTGAGTTATTGAGAAAAAGCAGGTTCTATTTTCAGGACACATGGTAAAATGCTACATGTCATCTAATTACCAATAAAATAAAAGATGCTTTCATCACATTGCAGAGTGTTTTCTGATAGTCTGCAGCTTACAGCAGACATCAGGACTGAGTGGCACAGGTGGGGGGGGGGGATCTAGGCATGGACGCCTCTGCCGCCGGCTCACCTTTGGTGGCGAGGACCTCGACCAGCACTAGGCGCAGGCTGAAGGAGCGGACATCACGCGCGGGCAGCAGGAACAGCAGGAGTACGCGGGAGCAGCAGCGCAGGAAATGCAGCTCGTCCTCAGGGCTTTGCAGGCATGGGTGCAGGCTGAAGGCCGTGGGTGACTCCGTCTGCCTGTTGAGCAAACGCGGCCGGATACGGGTTGGGGATCAGTACCATTTCATTCATCGCTGGCGAAACAGCTGCTCAATACTCCCTCCACAACTTCCTGCTTTTTGTTATTTTGCTGAAGCAACTTGTGTAATCCAGTTTTAGTACTTCATTCAAGGTCAGAACAGCAGAGTCACTCCAGGAACATGAAGTGGCCGCGTCTTGGTCCCGGTCCAGAACCGCTACATTACCAGCTGCCAGCAAGAGACGTCTCCTGCAGATGTAGCTAATTAATCAGACCCACTTCACCTACAGTCATGAAGACCCAAGGCATAACGTGCATTTTTAGCATGGCTGAGCCCAGCTGCCAGAAATGCCAAGAGTACACTCTAAAAATACGGTACAGAACATTACTACACACTGAAATCTATAGAAAGGACAAATTAATAAAAAAAATACAGTATATGGGGTAAGACTGAGAGCCTATCAAAAAAAACAGCTACATTTGGCCAACAGAGACATGGCTCAACAGAAAATATGACCAAAGACACACCAAAAGGACCTATGTCTTTACCGAAAATATGAAGTCTTTGCTCACAACCTTCATATACAGACCCTTTGACAGCAGTATTGGCCTCTTAGTTCCCTGCATCTGCAGATCAAAGCCCCACATCAGTTTGGAGGAATGTCGGTCTATTCCACTTAGCAGAACTGCATCATGTTGTGAATTTCAAACTATGTTCCAAGACAATGGTCATTTTTACAGTAGGGCATAATACAGCATTTCAACTAAGGATGGGCCAATCCACATTTATTCAGTTCCAATCCGATTACAATACACAACTGCCGATACCAATACCGAGCTCTTTTTACTTTTAATATAATAAATAAATCATATATATACTTGCCACACAATTTTTCTCCCACTGGCAACAGTGTCACTTACACTCCGTTGCGTTAGTAGCCCCTCGTGTATCACAAGCTGTAGCGAGAGCGCAAAACAGCCCAAGCTAGCGACTCCCAAGTCATCCATTGCTTTTTCATATTACTTGCATTGTCTCATACAATTGAGTGCGCTTTGTTCATAGTACATTTTTCCAGCTGCCTACTGGATCATCCAGGCATTTGTTGGCAAATTTTAAATGGGTGCCTCATGAGCAGATCAACCCCCTGAGAAATCAGTATTCGTCAGACCATGAGTCACTTCCCATGTCGTGAACAACTTCCTAAACTCACACCTGACTTTCAGCTCATTCATTTGAATATCTGATTCAAATTGCCCTGATGACAGAACTGATTCATATAATTTTGCCAGCTAATACTGTAAACGCTGGATCAGTGTGATCAATAAAGATATTAAGAAGTAATTTTCTATATTTGTTCAATCAGATTCTCCATTTTTCGGGGTTTGGGTGAAGATCACATTGCATTTTATGTTAAAACAATGAAGAAAGTCATATTATTCCAAACAACCAGCATCAAAAGTGTGTGTTGCCTACATCAATTTAGCAAGCTGAGAGCTTCTACTGGGATCTTTCAGTCAGCCTCAAAAGACAATGAGTAAATCCAGCAGTGAAGAGCTACACCAACAATGTCCACCAGTTAGCCCCACGTTAAAAAGGCCTTAATTGAAATGAATCAAACCATTCTCTGTTGTGCATTTCAATCGTCCCTCTCAGTTTGAAAAAAGCAGTGGTACTTGATGATAGGTTAAAGCAAGGGGCTTCACAATACGTACACAGAAACTCCGACTCAAGAACATAGCCACACATTCCCTACCTCCTAATATAAAAGCCTATGGAGAAAATGGCCAAAAAATTAAGATGTTGTTTAGTATATCGTTATAGTGTCATTAAAGGCATTTCAGTAGTCAGTTTCAGTTTCCCACAAGGACAAACGTCTTACTCATGGCAGGTGTCCCAGACGATGAAAGGAATGACCCCTATATAAGGAGGAATAACTTAGTGTGAGAGGCGTGTGTTCTGAGCGGTCAGGTCCCCTTCCCTCAAAGTACAATGCTTCAGAAAAGTCATTCTGCAAAGTGCTACAGGTCAAACCCTTATTTTATTCCAGTTTTAAAAACGTGTGGGAGGCTATGCACTTGGCATCATAATTGAGACAAAGTATCCCTGGGGGAAGGTAGCTAGAAAGCAAGTTTCCTGCCCAAATATTCATAAAACAAAAACAGCCTGCAAATGTGTACCTCAAAGCAATGCAATGAAATATTAATTATGCTTGTTATAAACTTCAATGAAAAAGTACAGTGTTCGAGCTCTTAAATAACCAAACACACCAGGTACACCATCTGGATTCACTTAAGCAAGCCTGTATTCTGCACCGAAAAAATACCATGCCTGCATTTCTACCTCACCAATATTACTGGACATCCGCTCTGATGGAACATAGAACCACTATCCTCACTAACTACCTTTATCTGCAATGCGTCAAACTATTGGAAATACAGGAGGCCATATTCTAACAGTATTATGGACATATAGACAGGGGGACAAAATGTATACCAGCAAGGTTTCATGGAGGTTCTATACCAGGGTTCTTCAACTCTGGACCTCGATTCCAAATCCAGGCCGTGTTTTCAGTTCTCCCAAGTAGTTGTTTAATAATGACTGATTCTGATTGGACAGAGGCTTCACACCTGACTGACAGGTAAAGGAAGGCTGGAAAACCAGCAGTGCTCGGACCTCGAGGACCGTGAGTTGAATAACCCTGTTCTATACTAAATATTTCTCCATTTATTATGATTTGTGGGTAACACTTTACTTAAGGCCATGTTTTTAATCATTCATAAGCACATTCATAATCAATTATAATGCACTCATAAAACAGTATAAACATGGTTATACATACAGTGGTACCTCGGTTCTCGAACTCACTAGAACTCGAATTTCTTGAAAGTCGAACAAACCAGTTTGACCTGGAACTCTATCTGAATATCAGAAGTTGAACCGTGAATGCTGACCTAATATA